CTAAAAGTTCAGGGTTTCAAATGCTGATTTCCAAGGTATGTAGAGTGGTGTAACAAACATACTATTTAACATTTCCATTTATTAGTACATTTATTCCTACCAATATTTACTAAGCATAGCTTACCAATGATGAAGGTTCCTTAGCAGACTGAGTAGGGAAAGGACTTTTGAGAACCTGGGCTATCAAGCTTAAAGCCATGAGGGGAAAAAAATATAGCCAAAACTTTTAAGCCATGAAATTGATCTTTGAAAAGTTTGTACCACTAAAATCTGCAATTCAATTCTAGAGTAATAATTATCTATATAAAAAGCTTAAAGCCTAAGTTTTTTTTAAACTAATTTATATACCTGTGTATTTTGCCTTAACCACTACAGACATCTGTGACATTTTTTGCCTTAAGTTTGTGTAAAATAAAGAAGCTGGTATTTTACATAAATGAACAGATGAATTTTGATGAATCTTTATCAATGTCACAGGAGCTTAAATATAAGTCTTGTACTTTTGTTTTTTTTTTTAAAGTTATTACTGTGGAGGTACATCTTAAAAATGTTTGATGCTTGGAATATTTTGAATAAAACCAATAGCTACAAAAACCAAAACTAGAAGAAAGTGTAATGCGTGAATTCCACAAATCTTCTGCCAAGGACAATAAGTAAAAAGAAATTTTAAAGTTAAGTACTTATTCTATTTTAAAAAATAGAAAATCTTCAAGCATTTTACAAATCTATTTATAATGGATGAGAATTCTATTTTCAGACAGACTTCTTTCTGATTGTATTAACATGATTAATATTTTCTTACTTGGCCCTTTATGGATTCTCATCTGCAATTATGGTTGATCAAATTTTTGGGAAAGTGTACAAAATTTAATTATCTCAGTTTGATTATTGTTTCTCAAGATTAAATCAAACTTTCTAAAATGTTGCAAGGTCTGCCTTGAAAAAAGGACTGAGAAAGAAGCATATCTTAATATTTCATTGACCTAATAACACCTATTATACCCAAAATTGAACAGTTGACATTCATGAGTTATAGGTAGAAACTTATAATTTGCACCGGATTTTCATTTTGACAATTAAAATCAGTAGTGTGTTAATTTATGATATTACTACATCTTATTTTTAAAATAGAATTTACACAACACACAGCCCATGAAAAAAAAAAAAAAAAAAAAAAAAAAAAAAGAAATAACTTTGTATTTCAGAAAGTTGATTTCATTTACATAGATATTATTCTTTGTAAATGACAACTTTCCAAACAGAGGAAGGATATGGAGTTAACGACTATATTAAAAGAAATACAAAGTACTTTAGATGAAATATAGGAAGAAAAACAAATCTTGCATTGCAATCACTATCTTAACTATTTCATCATGGCTCCTATAACCATTTAGTTAAAATTTTGTATTTGAATAGTCTCACAGGCATACATTAGGCCTCACTAAGAAGCAGAAACACCTTTAATTACTATAGTAAAGTTCTATTAAAAGATTTTCTTTCTCCAGTTTTGAAATATAAGCATAATAGCAGAAGTAATCCTTTATGTCAATACCAGGCAAGAAATGTAATAAGAGTCTTAGGCAGTAGAGAGAAGAAGAAGAAACAATCAAACAGTTCCTGGAGAGGAAGAAGTATAAGAGTTGAGAAAGTCATTCAAAGATGCAATTCATATTTAGGACTAGTAACCCATTCCCACAAACTGTTGTTGATGTAATAAGATTGATAATAGTGTAACAACATTTTACAATCTTCACAGAAGCCAGTTGAATGGGCAAGCAATATAGGAACTGTAATATTCAATTAGAGCAACTACCAAGAACTTTAACATTTGTCATCAAGAGAAGTTTCAGTCAAAATCATTATGTTGATATGAATGGAATACAAATGTTTTTTTAAGATGATAGTGGAGAGCAGTGTTTCCCAACCAGTGACCCCTTTGGGCACTTTTTTTTTTTTTTTTGTGTGTGTGTGCATCAATGCCTCCGTCAAATTTAAATATTATACTGAATTTATCTTTCGTAGCAAGACATTTAGGTAATAGTGCAAAAATAATTTTTTTATGTGGTTTTCATTTCTCTCTGCCCTCTTTCAACAGAAGAGCAGCAGTAGTGGGTAGAATTTTATTTTTCAACCTTTTAGGGGGGAAAAAAAAAAAAAAAAAAAAAAGTATTTTCCTTACTGTTGAAAATATGATTTTAGATGATTTATTTTTTCTGACTTGTAAATGGTACAATTCATACTTAAAATACTAATTATTGTTTAATAAAGGGAAAGTTTCAAATTATAGACAGTCAACAACAAATATTGACAGTTCCAACATTAGCTTTATGCCACATTCCCAGGAACCCTTAACATTTTTGCCCACAAAATCTGAACCATAATTTACTCCCATATGCATATTCCATGTTTAGCTTGAAGAATATTTAGTTCAGTTGTACAACTTAGAATTAGTTCAGTTAACCAATTTACAAATTCTTTGCACATTAAGAAAAAATTGATGTGGAAACTAAGATGAAAAAGAACTTTTAAATGAATAATTATTAATGCTTGCAAGTGTAGCTCAATAATTAAAAACACTAAGTTGTTTTGAAAGTTTCCAATTTTTTTTCTTTTTCTCTTAAAGCTATAAAACTACTACAGTATAAATACTTATCACTGCAAAAAAAAAAAAACAGCCGTTTATATTTACAAAATGCATTCAATTAAAATCATTGACACTAAGTAACTTGTAGCCAATAGCTCTAAAATGATGATCATTATAGGATACATACAAGCTATATATAAAAAAAAAAAAAAAATCCTACCAGAAAAGTTATGAGTTGGGAGCAAATATGCATTGGAGCCTGACAGAATGATAAGAAAGAATAGGAAACATTCATCAATCTAACATGCTTCACTTTTATTACACTCTGATGAAGCTGATAAAAGTGAAATGTTAGATTGAGAAACATTCTATATATATATATATATATATATATATATATATATATATATATATATATATATATATGTGTGTGCGTGTGTATCTCCACTTCCCAGCTGTATCAAGATGGCAGAAGTTGACAGTAAAGGACTGGAGTAGGAGAATAGTCCAGGAAGAAAGGCAGTGTGTTTCTTTTATATTAGATACCACCTCACAGAAGGGATCAAATTTGATCATTACTAGTTTTACAACTATTTAAACAGGGTTAGCAAAATTAAGACTGCATATGTAGCAAATAATGTAATTAAAGTATAAAAATTTTGAGAGAAAAAAAAAAAAAAAAAAAAAAAAAAAAAAAAAAAAAAATTTTTTTTTTTTTAGGAATGTAAATACAATCATACTTGCAATTATAAGGAAAACGATTTTTTTTAACAGCTTAAAATTTAAGTATGAAACCTTTGTATGCAATGTAAGATAGTGACTGCAGTAAAGACATTACAACGTATATAATCAAATTTTAATACCTACCCAAAAAGAAAATAAAAAAAAAAGGCAGCATTAAAAACAAGTCACATTTGAAAAGTCAATAGTAAGTTGAAAATTTATTTCCTATCTGCCTGATCTTGCATAATCCAAGCAGATACTGATTTCCTCTTGAAAGATGACCTTCATGAAGTTATTTCAGATAACTGACAGGAATTACATGGAGTGTAAGAATTCATGATCACTGAAAGCCCAGTGATGGACCAGTCATATCATAAAAATAAACACAAGTGTAACCTGTCTTAATCTTGGAACATATCAGAACATGGCAGGAAATTTTTTATTTTTAATTATTTTTCATTTTCCTATAGTAATACTTTATTTTTCCTTTTTTATTAAAAAGAGCGAACTTGGGGGGGGCAGAAATAGGGGAAATGAAAATTAAAAAAAAAAAAAAAAAAAAAGAAAAAAAAAAAGAAAAAAAAAAGCAAAACGAAAAAATGCATATTTTCTAAAACAAGAGTAATGCTAAAATATTTAATTATTATAGATGACATGATTAAGAAAGAAACATTGTTGATACAGTTAGGCAAATTGAATTCTGAATATTTGTGTTAGGATGAAATCATGTGAGCAAACCAAGTATGTGGAACTCACCCTATGGAAGTCAAATGTTAGTTTGTTTCCAACACTTGCCAATTTAGATGAAGCATTCAGTGCCTAAGCAAGCAGTATCTTATTAATAGCAATAATTTAAAAAAAGAGGAAAATTGAGAAAAAATATCATGCTTCTATAACAATGGCAAGCTTTCTTCCAATTCAGCTGGGACTATTTTATAGTATGAAAATAAGCTAAGTTCCAATAAGTTAAAGATAGTCCTGAAAGAGATGAGAGAAATATTGAACAATTTTCCTTACCATTTGAAAATTTGGGGTCAATTTAGAGGTTAAACATTTTTTAATAGGGTAAAGAAGGGAGACATCTATATATTTGGTTGCTTGTGAACATTGCCATGCTTAATCAGTTATCACTTTTATCAAACTTTAGTTTGAAAGCCAATATCAACAAAGCAATGTTTTTGTAGAAGAAAAAATAATGTTCAGATGTGGAAAAAGAATCCGTTCTGAAAGAGGCCATAGAAACCATCGTATCACATTAGAGTCTGAAGAATCATAACAGAAGGATAGAAATAGCAGAACAAAGTTAACAGAAATACTGATCTCAACAGAAATGAACCATGGTACACTAGGCTAAAAAGGGTACATCATTGGAGTCGCAGATATTGTAATTGTTTACATGAAAACCAAATGTCTTGCTTAAAATTTAAAAAAATAAAATAAAAAAAAACAATAATGAAATAAAATAAGTAGCTAAGGCAGGACATCTGGGTAATAGTTTTAGTTGTTCATGTATATTGGCAAGTTTCCAAATAGAGATCTAAGTGTATGTGTATGTCCCAGGGGTGTGGTCATGCTCAATTGCCAAGCTCTCACAAGATAGAGGGCATCAGGTGCTGTGGTGGTTGTACACTTGACTAATGCAACCAGCCAGGACAGTTGGAACTGTCAATACAACGGCTAAAATGTCCAGAGCTTAGAGGAAATAGTCAGGAGTGCGCCGTGTCACGTGAGGTTCTCCTCGTCTTGGAGCAGGATCAAACTGCAAGCTGAAAGAGTAAATCAATAAAAGTCAGAGACTCATTGACATTAAGCTAAAAACTGTAACAATGTATTTGAAACTGGAGAATATGAAGAGAGTTATACTGTAAGAAAACACCACTCAATTTAGCCATTATGTTATTAGAATATAACTACATGCTTTTCAGTGTAAATGGGTGTAGTTATATATAAAAAAAAAAAAAAAAAAAAAAGGTAAAAGTACCTTATTAATCTATTTACTGTTGTGGTCATTTAAAAATTTGAAACATGAAAACACAATGTTTTATCAAAATTGATTAATCTATTTGAAAAAAATTATACTGAATTATTACTGAATTTGCTTCAACTGGAATACAGAACCTGTTGAGATTTTATATTAATACCGAACAAGACATATACAAAATTAAAAGCTAATGAGGAATTTCATATTTTAAGAATAAACCACATATGAAGAAAAAACTAAGTTTTCTAAAATGAGGGTAGAGAGAAAAAAAAAAAAAATAAATAAATAAATTAATAAGCCAGAAATCACAAGTTCAAAATTGGCAAGTTTTTAAAATGCAAAGCTAGTCCCAGGTTTTCAATGTCATATTTTAACAGTATTCAATTTGTAAAATATTAGTTTTTGTTTATTTTCATTCTAAAACACAATCCAGAAAATCATAAGAATGCTATGTAATAAAGTGTCCAACTTACAAGGAATACTTAAGAGCATCATCAAGTTCCATAATAGCAGCTTGATTCCCACATCGATAGCAGTAGTTTGGAGCACTAAATATAGTTACCACATTTCTGTCATGACACCAGTTATAACCCTTTGAAGAAAGAAAAACATTTTAATTTTTTTTTTTTTTTAAAATACAGGTACAAAATGAAACAAATTAGTCCATGAACTGTAATCACTCAACATGACATTTACTCTACAACACATTTAACAAGACTGATCGCTTAAGAATATTTTTTTTTTTTTTAGGTTCCCAGTTTTTTTTTTTCTTGGGTATGGCAACATATCCACAAAGCAGCTGAAATGAAACGACAGCTGTACCAAACCAACTGTCAATCCATTACACTATAATAGACCAAGAATCATATAGAAGTAAAAAGTCACCAATACAGAGAGAAAACATACCTCTTATATGCAACATAGGTTATAATTTTAGCTCAGATGCCCGCTTTCTACTCAAATGACATTAATATTATTATTACCAGCACCACCATAAAAAAATAAATCAATGAAGTACTGGGAGTGTCCATTGGTACAAGCCGATCTATCATACCTAAATATGTCTAACCAGCTATAAACCACAAAAAGGTTATAACTGAAAAAAAATATCAGAAATGATAAAACACTAACTTGGGAAGCACAACATCAATATCAAAGAAAAATACAGTCACATAAAGCAGCTAAAAAAAAGGTTAGTGAAGTGAAGGCAGGGTGTATTTTTATGTTCAGTTGGTCACTTTTCATATACAGTAATGTTTTCTGCTGTAGCTAAAGTGCTTTTTAATGATAGCTTACTTTGAACATGCACAATATTTTATATATACACACACACACAAATCAATTCCAGAGTTTCAGGTCAAATTGTTGGGGTTGAATATTCAATATAAGCTTTGCATGCTAACAGAATTCAAACAAGTATTAAATTAGAAAGAATTGTGTCTATTGAAATAGTCATTATGAATTACTAACAAATAAAATGCATGGGAAAATTTAATTATTACAGAATCAATAAAGTTACACTATTAACCTTTCTCAGTACTACACTCAGTGAGGAAAAAACAAAAAAAAAACTCACTTCCATGACCAGTTGATGTGCACGGGAAACCAATGTAAGTCCATTACTATGGTTGAAAGTTTCAGAAATGTCTTGCCCAAATGTATATCCTGCACCACGGGGAGAAATCCCCCAGCCACCACGATCATCTGGGTCTGACCAGAGAAGGTCACACATTGGGCCCTTTAATAAAGAAAAAAAAATTTTGTTCATGCAAGCAATATACTCATAATAGCCCTGCTTGTTCTATCATCAATTCCTGAGCATGGACAATCCAAATGCACCCAATAATTGGAACATTAAATTATTTTTCCTAGCACCAAAATAGTAATTTGTTAATACGGAACATGACTAAAGCTAAGCAGGAGAGAGGTTGATAATAATAAAAAAAAAAACCTTGCCTAGATATATACAGGATTAAATGTGGTTGTAACTAAAATACAATTGTAATTTAAAATAATAATATTACACCCAAATGCCTTTTGTCATTATATCACAGGTTACATAAACAGCTGATAATGATAATATCCAGACAAGGTTTTCTAAGATATAGGGATTGTTTGCATTATTTAAAACAAACATGTTAAAAGGAATTATAGACATTTAAACAGTACAAGAAAAAAAAAATTACAAATTTGAATTACCAATCATATTCTATTGGATACTTGATTCTATATTTTAATGCACAAGTCATACAAATGCAAATTAAAGAGAACAGAAGTCTTTACTTACTTCATGAGGTACTTCTTGTATTCTGTCTAAAGCCTTGATGTGGTCAAGTGAATCTATGGAAGGGGATAAACCACCATGTAAGCAGAATATCTGAAAGAAGAGTTTACAATAATTTAAAATAAAATTAACTGAAAAGTTAAATTATTGAACAGAACTGCCTCATTAAAACTAAAACAGCAATTCATTTTATTTCTAGCTATTGATAGCTCTTATACAAAGTTTATAGTCAAGTTTTTTTTTTTTTTGTTTTAAAGTATAAGACAAATTTTCTAAATGGCAAATAATCTTCAACATTAGATTTAGAGAAGCTATAGTTTACATTTTTTTCCCTTAAAGTTAAAACAATTACAACTGGCAGATTTGTTTGTTCATATCAAGCCAGATCTTTATTAAAAAAAAAAAAAAGTCCTCAATACTGCAATGAAAATTCATGATTTTTAATATATTTATGACTAAGAGAATACACATTTACCTGTCCATCTACTAATGCAGTTAAAGGAAGAAAATCAAAGAGGTCTGTGAAAAACTTCCACACATTAGCATTTCCATATTTTCTTAAACATTCATCATAAAATCCATATACTTGAGTAATTTGTCTACTTTCATGGTTTCCTCGAAGTATAGTAATCCTGTCCTTATATCTAACCTGCAAAATAAAAAGAATATAGTTTAAAGCATTTTTAAACTCAGGATATTAAATTTTTTTAAATTTACTTTTAATAACAAGCACAAAATTTAGGAAAACAAAATAGGATGAAGGTCTTTAAAAATCTATCCTAATTTTACTAATCTGATCATAACAGGAAAGTATAATTAGTGAACTTTTATAAAGCATTGGCATCAGAAAATGTAGCAAATGAATTGTATCATATATTGCCATGTATGAATTCTAAAACTTAACAGCAAAATTAGTGACAGCTACCTGTCATGTAGTGATGTATATTCAGGAGTGATTATAATACTTTTGTTTGTTAGGGGTAGCTGTAGAGAATTTAGTGAGGTTTGCGAAATGTTCCATACGTATTCAAATAGAGTTTAAATCTGAAAAGAACCGGGGCCAATGGTGTAGGTGGAAAGGAATCAAGTTATCATGAAACCAGTAAACTGTCAGTCACAAACATGTGAGTTGACGTTATCTTGCTGGAATAAACTATGATTACCATGAAACAAGGAGAGTGTATAAAGAGACATATAAAAAAAAAAAAAAAAAAAAAATTATGTCTCTTTAGAACATCCAACCCCATTACAGATTTGCCACCAGTTTGTGCAAGATATTTGACCAGGTGACAAGGTGCTAGTCTTCAACAGTCCAATAATAAAAATGGTGCAGGTTAGGAGCAAAAACAAATTCTTATTGTATCAAACTTGTTGGTCAATGACTATGAAACCTGATACAATATAACCTATGCCATACAGTATTTTGATCAACAGGGGTACAAGCAACAGGATCGAATTAGGAAATGATCTGGTAAAATTTCCCCCTTCATTTCCATGCTTGCAAGTCAATGGTTGTCCCATTCTTACATATCACCTCTGAGCAGTTTTCACTTGCTGCTGCCTAGAAGTCATTCTTTGCATACCTTTGACACTTGGCTAACAAAAATCGTCACCCCCCCCCCAACACATCAAAAATTTTTTTTTTCATTTTGTAATCACAAATGCAAAAAACTAGATCAAGCAATAACTAAATGTCGTACTATATAGAAACATCATATTTGCAAAAAAAAAAAAAAAAAAAAAAAGTTTCAATCTGGGAAATATACATACCTTAAGCGCTACAAGAAGAGTAACAGTTTCCACAGAATAATAGCCTCTGTCCACATAATCTCCCATGAAGAGATAATTTGTATCAGGTGATCTGCCTCCTATTCTAAAAAGTTCCATTAAATCATGGAACTGGCCATGGACATCTCCACACACGGTCACAGGACATTTCACCTGTTGGACATTAGATTCTTTGGACAATATTTCCTTAGCCTAGGGAATGAAAAGAAAAAATAATTGTCATTTATTTAAGTTAATAGTTCAATATTATATAGAAACTTTATTTTTTAGAGGCTAACAGAATAAATATTCATCTTTTAAGTTTGATATGAAAATTATTTATGTTTGTTACATTGTCAGATTAATGAAATGAAACAAAATTATAGAATTAATTCTAGGATTAAAGACTACTTTTATTAAAAAGTAAAATCTATCAAAATACAGCATTTGAGAATCTTTGCCAAGATGAAAAAGTCAGTGCTATTTATTTGATAATTATAAACATGTAAAACCATAAGATTCATTAATTAATATCCAATTAATCAGAGATTAAGATCTTAATGTGAACTAGTGATTTTTTTTAATTTTCCAAACAAAAATGATCTCTAATGCAGATCAAATTTATATCTCAGACCATTAACTCTTTGACCCTAATAGGATAAAGTTTTTAGTCGAAAAAAGGTTTAAACTAATAAATGATTGGAATTTCATAGATATATCTATGATAGGCAATATTTAAAGGCAAAGATTTGAAAGTATAGAAATCAGAGACAAAGAAACAGAAAAGTTATACTAAAATATTGACTTCAAATTTGAAAAGTACCTTGATATTAATATTAGTAAAACTGCTGCTCATAATTAGAAAAATTGCCTTACAAATAAGATAAGGCTTCAATTTACATGGACCAGATAAAAGAATCTCTGAAGAGACATGGTATTGAAAATAAAATATTTAGCATTTTATTAAACAAAAAGGTTTAGCAAGAAATAAAAAATAAAATCAGAATCTAATTTATTGCTGTTCTCCAATAACCAACAGTGAAATGATGGATTATGTAAAAAAAAAATGACAAAAATATAATTTAACAATGTGATAATGCCTTTCAATTATGTTAAGTAATCACGTGTGTGTGTATCTCATACATTAAAGCATAAAAGGTTAAGCTTAGTATTACCATATAAAAAGATACTGGCAACAGAGCAGAGGTTCTGAAGACAGCAGTAGATTATGCTATCAATCTGATTATATAAATCAAACATGAATAACATAACTAGCAATTAAAACAAGATAAAATTATTACATCACTTCAGAAATTAATCTAAAATTTAACAAGTATAAAGGTGTGCTCACTTAAAAAAAAAAAAAAAAAAAAAAAAAAAATATCTATATAGAAGTATATTAGTATATTGCAAGAATTTAGATAGATTTGGATCAATTAAGCTTCATAAAAGGTCTTACTGCCTCTTATTTTTAAGTAAGAGAAACCTAGTTATTTTTTAACATTTAAAAATAATAGGCTATTACTCAGGAAATATCATTGCTTGTTAAATAGAAGCTGACAATGTTACACAAGATAGTTATTTTCTTTAGGTCACATCAGCAATATTTCATCCTCCAACCTCTGACAGCAATAAGAAATAGTTTCATTGACTTCTTAAATTTGAAAATAACAGTAACAATACCTCAACTGCTGCATCAACACAATTTCCTTTTGTTATATATTTAGTTTATTAAAATTGAATGTTCAGTTTAAACAAGGCAAATTTGAAGTACAGCAGAAAATTTGATAATCTTAGAAACAAGTGACTGTAACTTAAATGAGAGTTTGAATACTTTTCTATTCATAAATAGGATTAAAAAAATTCTCCCCTTATAGAGAAAATAATGCTATCAAACTATTTTTGATTTAGTTAAAATACCATTACCTACAAGCTTCCACAACTAAGTAAACCAATCCACTCACATTTTAGATTAGTGAAGTACACATCTATCAAGAATAACCCACATATAGAAAATTTAATGTGTATCCATATCAGAGGGTGCTGAAAATTTATCATCCTGTCCATGAAGCCTTTACAAAAAAACAAAAAAGTTTCAGATTTTGCAAAGTGAGCCAGATTAAGGAGCTTTTCAACACATGTGTAGAGTTCCACAGATTGCATAAATAACACTAATCCTAGGCTAGGCAAAAGTGCGGGTTCATAAGTAAATAATCCAGTCATTCTGATCAGTTACTATACTAATAACATATTTAAGTTAAAGTAAAATTTTAATTTTCTTGAAAGACAAAAAGGTTTTTTTTGCTTTTTAATTTATTTTGTATAGATCAGTACCAAGTACTTTAGTTATCTAGTAACTGGGACAACTTAAGATTATAAAGTGTTGCATTTTAAAATATTTTATCTCATTGCATTCAAACTACTTGATAGTAGTAGTCTTGATGCCCAAGAGTTACATTCCAAATGTAGAGAGAACATACACACTCCTACAAGAATTCATTTTAAAGTTTTCTTGTTATATATATATATATATATATATATATATATATATATATATATATATATATATGAGAGAGACACTTCTATTTGCCTTTGATTCTTAAAATTAAATATCAATCATTTAATACCTTTGAACCGAAAATATGTGTCTAAAGAGTATTATCAAGATGCCATTCCATGTTAGCTTTATTTTAATCTGAGAATAATTTTTCAAAATATTTTTAGCATTTTCTTTTAATCAGCAAACAACATAACTTTAATATTCTAACACTTAAATTTGTATACAAGAAATCCAATACTAAAAAAAGCACAAGTATGATAGTAAAGTATATAGTAGACAATATTGAGTCCCAAAGAAATATCAACAGAATAAATGTATCGTTATCAGAATGTAGAGAAAAAAGTAGCAGGTGACCATAGAATAGTTTGTATACTGTTAATCATTATAAAACTTTACTTTTAAGGATTTAGTTTATAGCCTGTCATATCATTAACTGTATGTTTGATTTATGTGATTAATATTAACCACTGAATTAAGTGCATTCATAACTAAGGAGATTAAGCTGCAGACTTGATGTACTACATATTTACTTACTCATTTTAAACCTTTATCTAGAATTCAACATTTCCAAATTACAGTTAAACATGTCAATATTATATACAGAAGTCTACTATAAATTCAAAAAATGTTTATATATCAATGATCACAAAATAGTGTACATATTCTTCTTTATATTTAAACACTCAAAATTTATAATTATCTAATATTTTTTTAATACTTATGTATTTAAGCTACTTAAAAATCTGATGTTATAATAGCTATATTCATTTTTATATAATGAAATCAAACTGATTAGCTGTTAATTTACTGCAAAAATAAAAAAAAGTTCAATTATAACAGTTCTGTTTCTTTGTCTAAGCAGCTCAAACCAAATATCAAATACTACCTTTAAGGTTTGGTTTGTTGTGTTTAACGGCATATCAAACTTAATGGGTTATTTAATGCCAACAATTTTTGTTGCTGGTAATATTTTTTCCCCTCGTAAATCTATTTTAGGTAATAATTTTTTTCCCTTCAAAAATGTATTGTTGACAATGATTTTTTTACAAAAAGTATTTCTGATATTAAAATCTATTTTTACACCTTCACAGCATTTTGACCCCAGTTTGGGGGTTAACTATTTGCTCATAGCTGGGACCCCAATAAGCCTCATAACCTAAGATCAGGGCAGACCCGTGATCCCCAGCAACCAAGAGGTGGTTCCATGCTCCTCAAAACCTCCTGATCAGAGGCCCTGCTGCCGGATGCTGATCATCGTCCTCCAGAACGGACTACCTTTAAGCTAGAGATAGTTAAGTCACTATTATAAAACATAAGTGGAAAAATTGAACAGTGTTAACATTTTTAAACAACATTTCACTTTTCATGTAATTATTACTTTTAGTTCTCACAGGATTTCATATCTTTAGTAAATGTTTTCTTTCATTTAAAATTTTCATATATAACAGAGGCAATTAAGGATGTGTACTTAAATGAAAAATAGAAATTTTAGCTCTAATTTGTCATTAAAAAATCAGGTGTTTAAATACAATACATTTGTGAATGCATAATTCACAAAAGAATTATGTAATTTTAATTGCAAAAAAAACATTTTAGATATTTTTAAATGTTTATTATGCTAAATTATAAAAATAGGAAATATTTCTAATAGTCATGCTAATTTATCTAATTGGCCCTAACAAGAAAGCTTTGTGAATTTTGAAACATTTTTAACAATGAAAAATTAAAGAAAATATTCCTTTGATGATCAAACAGTTCTTTCAGAAGCCCCACAACTAAAGAAATAGCTTCATAGACTATATAAGAATCATCTTTACAGAAAGAACATTTAGTCAAGTTCTTTCATGTAATCTAGATGCTAAAAACTATTTTTCACAAAAAAAACAAAAAAGAAAAGAAAAAAAAACACACAAAGAGGTAACGATTATTGTTTACATAAAAATATTTAAATCAAGGATAATTGTAAATTGTTAGTCACTTGATCTAATGACAGGACAGTTATAAGAAGTATATAATGAAAATTGAAAATGATAACTTATTAATAAAGATTACATGAGTAACCAATATATGCAAAGATAATATTCTAGTTAAAATTACTAAAACATTTTTTTAAAATTGATATTTCAATATTTCATATTTTTAGCTGATAAACAAGGTTAGAGAAATCTGGGCCTGATCTTAAACATTTGTTTGTACGCAAATATTGCTTAGTCAGATGAAAAGTTACTTTAACAACAAAACTAATTAGTAGCTAAGGGATCATAATAATGCCCGCGGAAAATATTACTAATAAGTGCAAATCGACAATTTAGAATCAATTTACTACAAGCTTTGAACAACAAAAACAATCTATCAAAATTAAAATATTTTCCTAAGTTAAAAAGCAATTTATCATTCATGAACAATATTTTTTAAAGTTTGTTTTCTAATATAAAGTTAATAAAACTAGTAAAAAAGTGTGGGAAATTTTGCAAAAACATCCTAAGGAAAAAAGGTTTAATTTTCAATTCTTATCAAATTAAAGTTTGATAAAACTAAAAGAAGGGAGAAGGGTTTGTTTAAACAAAAAAAAGCTAGCGTGGCAAGGATACAACACAAGATAAAAAAATAAAAATGAACAAATTTTGTCCAAGAAAGTTTAAAATACTGTTTCAACAGTTTAAAATTTGTAGTGATTCTGTTATGTAATAAATATAATAAATAATAAATTTTTAAATATACTGAAGCATTTCTTTGAACATGAAGTCCAAATATCGAAACTAAGTAAAACGTTATTTTCTTCCAAATGTACATTTATGTATTGCAAGTAAATTTTCGCAGAATTAAATTCTTGGCTGAAACTCAGACTTTATTTTTCCTTGAAAAGGTTAAACAATAATTAATTTTAAAAAAATAGAAGTCTATTTTTCTTTTCTAACAATGTTAATAATATTAAAAACCCAAAATATCCAAATCTGAAACTATCAAATTTTGAATTGGTATTCTGCTTTGTAAAACGCAGAACACAAGAGTATTGGAAAGCCCCGGGATTATCAGAATGTAAAAAGCTGTAAATTCCATGAGGGTTAATTCGTCTTTGAATGATTCCTGCTTCACGCCAACGCAATCAAGATGAAGATAAGCAATAGATCTGCAGTTGCAGGAAGACTACAAGTATATATTATAGCACTATCACACTCAAGTTATGAATACTCAACACCAGAAATATAACTATATTTTTTTATGAAAATATACCACAGATTTTTAGTCATTCTCGCTCTTATCATAGCAAATTCACTGAAAGAAAAATGTTTACAGGTTTTGATAAAAAATTTTTTATTTAAATTGTAATTGCTTAAATAACAAAGATATATTTAATTTATTTTTCCAAAAAGATCTAGTTCTTAAGATTCTACCATTTTATAATCGGCAAGTAAAAATTGCAATAAGTAAAATTTAAAATATGTATGTTACGACTATACACTGGTCAATAAAAGGGGGGTTCGATTATTACATAATACTTAACGCCATTTGATCCCCCACTTTTCTTTAATAAAAAGGAATCCAGTTTCTCTTGCACTAACAGAATGCAATTTTGAAATCTATCTCAATTCAAAATCAGTAGTGATCGCCGGATGTATATCTGTTAACAGATTTCTTTCCGTGAATTAAAATCTAATCTGAGTTGATGAAAGGAAAAAAAAAAAAAAAGAAGACATGTTAAAAAACGAGATGGCGATTAGCAAGAATAGGGGAGGAAAAAAAAAAATCAATGATCAAGCTGCATGATTCCATTGACAAGCCGAAAGAAAAGACAAGGGCGAAAGCGGATGAAATTTAAACAAGTATCTAAGTCAATATAATTAATGTTCTAACAGATGGGTCTGCTTTAGTCGAAAAAAAGAAAAAAAATACAGTCGACTAAAAAAAAAAAAAAAAAAAAAAACGGTCCGACTTAAATGGAGGAAAAAGAAAAAAAGAAAAAAAAATGCGTCCTTCTAAGTCTTTGTAATATGACAAGACACCGGCTGCAAATCGTCAGATATGCATTAAGTATAATAAACATTAGTCCACAAGAAAGCGTAATAAAATTATATTAAAATGAAATTTTAGAAAACATTTCAAAAGTAAGATTACCTTCTCACATAGTGTTTTCACTTGAGTCTCTGTGAGTTGCTTACACTCATGCAATTGTTCAATCCATTGATCCAATTCTTTAGCTGCAGCTCGATCTTCCACCATTGTTACTTTTCCTTAGGATCTTTGTCACCAACACTAAATAGATTACTTAAAATTAAACTACAGAGATGGGGTCGGGAGATTGTCAAGATAACTCAGTGACACAATCGTGTTTCTGAGGACAATTATGCCGACCCTACTCGAGACGTTACCCAAAATGGCCGACCCTCCTGTCCTGACGTCATGAGCGGTTAGTCTATGCATATAATTTTCTTATTTTTAGAAACAAATATGGACCTATATAATTTATAAAGTATTAGAATTAAATACATGTTATAATAATATGTTTTTTATTTAAAAAAAAAAAAAAAATAATAATTTTGAAAATAGTTATATGATAACCGGAAGTCTCGGGCTGAATCGAGATTAACGTTTCAACTGTGCGTGCACGTTCTCTTCCGGCCGGTCACCATTCCATGCAGATCGGGAATATTTTTCTTCGGGTTCAATCTTAAGGAATCCTGAGTTAAAACTTCCAAAATTAATAATGACTGAGCAAATGACTCTTCGTGGGACCCTTAAGGGTCATGGAGGTTGGGTTACGCAAATTGCCACCAACCCAATTAATCAAGATAATATCGTTTCTGCTTCCAGAGGTAAGTTGGTTTTTTTTTTTTTTTAATAAAAAGTGATTGTTACATAAAATCTGTGAGTAGAAATCAAAATTGCACTCAATTTTTCGTTTTCTGTGTCTTTTAATAAAAGTCTTTAATATTTGTATATTAACTACGCCCTACAAGCAAATTGAGCCGGCTATAGACCTGCGCCCACATGTGTATATTACCTTACACAATCCCTTTTTTTTTTTTTTTTTTTTTTTTTTTTCTAAAATTTTGATATCATTTCTTAGAGCTCAAAACTGCCATTTCCTCCTGATCTGAGAAATATTTTCTGATAGGTACAAAACTTACACATTTAACCGAATAGATTTTTCCTGTCAAACGTTGTTGGCCACTTTATAAAATGCTATACCCCAAAAAATGTGCATTTATATTTCAATATCACATTTTTCTGGTGTTGACTGTACTCTTTCGTGTTCCACAAAAATCAGTATTGAAATGTTTGATTTTTGTCCCCCATAAAGACCGGTTTATGTCAATACGAGTTTCTTTTAGTAACTTACGGCAACAAGTACTGTAATACTGTAATTTTTCGATGTAGCACAATTTAGGGAGGTATTGACTTTTATTCCCGCTCAAATTTATTGAAGTAATTTAATTTATATTCACTTTCCAGTCTATAAGATGGCAGTTTCCCCCCTTAAAGAATCCTTTTGTTTCTTGCTTCTAATTTCAAGCAATAAGGAACTATCAACTCGTTCCTCGGTACCTGTCGCCATCTTTTTAAACATCGGATTTTTGTCTTTCTCTATAAAGAGAACTATTAATCTAAATTTTTAGTCAAAATGAAGACTCTTAAACTAATAAAACCCATTCTAATTACGTACATGAAGAAAAAAATTTTTTTTTTTTTTTTTTCATGTAAAGTTACACATGACAATACATAAGGCCACGTGGAGAGGAAAAGCTTCCACGTAAAAATTGGTTACACCACCAAGGGCATAAATTTGTAGTACTAAGTGCTAAATTTGCAGTGATTGAAAAACATAAACGTCATTAACTTTGCAGATGTAAAATGTAATGTCTTGATATTAAATTATAGTTTCTGAAATATGTAAATGTTTTTCTTAATTTTTCTATCGCAATCGCCAATTTTATTTACGTTCTAAAAGATGCGAAAGTAAACGCCAGCGAGATTTGAACTCCCCTCTTGTATGGACTATTCGTTTGGCGGGTACTCTTGATTTTTAACTCTTAAAACAATTTCTACCTATATTGGCAGTACCTAGTTCATATATTTCTATGGGTATTTTTATTTCTAGTTTTATATTCTAGTCCTCTCTTAGATTTGAAGTCCTACAAAAGAAACAAAAACGAAAAATAGTTGCCGAAATAAGATATAATCACTATATTATTTGGACTTTATCACTGAAAAAATCTGCACTAATTAAACTAATTTTTAAAAAAATATATTTTTTGTAAGTTAGCATTCTTTAGAATCCTTGCACCACAACACTTATCAGTATTGGAAAAAATATCGATACAGTCAAATCGATTCCTGATTTTTCTGCGTAAAACGTACTTAGGTTGTACGTACAAGAAAGTCTATTAAACTAAGAATAAATTGGTATAGTTGTGTACCTCTATCTTCATTTAAGATAATTATTAGCCGAAATCGTTTGCATTTGTTCTGAAAACAACCGCATACAAAAAAATAAGATTGAGTTAAGAAAATTAAAATAAATATGCAGGTAGCAATGATATTGGTTTCAAACTTGACATTTTGTAGATAAGTGACTTCGTCTAAAGTCCAATAACTCTGTAAAATTCAGATTGGTTTGACAATCCATCGATAAACAAAACGCTTTTTTCTAAATAGATAAAATCTTAGTAAAAAAAAACAAAAAAAAACTCTGCAGTTCTGGCAATTGTGCTATTCTACAAAAAATTTTTACGAATAGACCAGTTTATTTTACTGTCGATGAATTGGTAATTGATTTTTTCCACGGTCTTGCTAGCGTGTCATTTTGAAATTTTCCCACGAAGACCATATCAGCGAATTAAATTATGTCCTTGATTTTTATTTTTTTAAAGGTCTGGCTTTGATTTTAAAATTCGCCATTTAATCAGGGTTGTTAAATTTTAAAGTTACTCAGAAGTTTGGTAGCAAAAACAATTGGTTAATTATCTTGGAAAAGGGTATAGTTATTATTACTGATGTTTTTCTTTTGCCCACTAAATGTATATGGACAAAATTCATGTTGAGTTATAAAGTTGGTAATTTTGATATTTTTATAGCCTTTTTTTAATTTGATAAATATTTCTTTCTTTTTTCTTTTTTTTTTTTTTTTTAGACAAGACTCTGATTTTGTGGCAGTTAACAAAGGATGATCATCAGTTTGGATATGCAAAAAAATCTTTGAAAGGACACAACAACTTTGTGTCTGATGTTGTCATGTCTTCTGATGGTAATTTTGCTCTCTCTAGCTCCTGGGATGCCACATTGCGCTTGTGGGATTTAAACCAGTAAGTGGCTTGCTTTTTAATTCTTGTAAAACTTGTATTTTTCATACACCTACAAACGCTAGCCTGATGAAAAAGACACCAAAATTGATACATTTTATCATGAAAATGTTTGACCAAAATATTTTAATTTTTTATCCTTAAAATTTTTTATAGCATGTTCAAAATTTGGCTTAAAATTGTTTATCTTGCATCAGCAGCAGGTTAAAGATTAGTATGAGAAATTTAGCATCTATTTTGCCATTAAAAATGTTTTAAGGATTCTTGCAAAAATAAAATAATTGTCAGATTTTAATGAAATTTTCAGGACTTATTCACAAGTGAAATTAGTGTTACCTTCACTTAATTTTATGAAATTCCAAGAAATTAACACTTCAGCCTCTTCTTATGTTAGTTAAAAGCAGGACTCCTTGGAGAATTTAAACCCATTTGTTTTTGTCAATCACCATTTACTGAAAAATCAATGACTCCTAAAATAAAAAATGCAATAAAATGACATTTAACTGGAAAAACTTTTAATTGCTTTTATAAATAAAATATATTAAGGACTCTTTTTTAAAAAAAAAAAAAAAAAAAAAATTGTGGATTTTTACAGTAGTTGTAAGCTGTCAGTTTTAAATCTTAAAATTCTGTATTAATTTCAGTTGATTTGGTTACATGAAAACTATTTACATAAATGTAAAAGCTTAACACAAATCAGGAAACTGATATTTTTTAAAGTTTTTTTTTTTTTTTTTTTTTTTTTTTTTTTTGTATAGCGTATCTAGGTACTGCCAATAATTCTGAAAGAGTATAGCATAAAAAAAAGGCCCCAAACTTAAAAAACTGTTTTATCAATGTTTGTTATTAAAAGGAAAGAGCGGAGTTTGTATATTTTTTTTATTATTATATAAAGTTTTAGAAATAACATTTTCCAAACTTTGTCCTTGTTAGATTAAGTTAGTTATATTTATTAAGCAAAAATTAAAGCTTAATACAAATCATCACACCTGAGATTTTAAAGATAATTTTTTCTCAACATGACGATTTTGAAGATCTGGGTGACCATGCATGACCTTACAAAATAAAATCAATGTTGATAGTAAATTTAAACTCGACATTCCGAAAGTTAGATTATGCAGAATATTTCCAACATTTTGAAGATTACCAAGTACTTAAAAAAAAATTATAAAAACGTGATTTACAGGGTGTTGACAAGCACTTAATCATGCTATTGTTTGTTTTTAAAAATCCATTTCTGTTATTTTCAATATGAAAAAATACATTTTTGCCATGGCTTTAAAAAAAAAAAAAAAGGAAAGCATAAGTTCCATCATTTGCAATTAGTTTCTGAAAGTTTCCGACAATTTTTATTTTTGCAAGTTTTTCAAAATTAATGTCTGTCATACAAAAGAAAAAACTCGCTAAAATTTTGTTACTTAATTCCACTGGACATTGAGAGAGAAACAAGGTTTTTAAATCAATTTAGAATGTTCTAAAATGTGGGGAAATTTTAATTTAAAAAAAATAAATACTTTCTTTCCTCTTAATAACATTTAGGCGCTAAAATTATTTTGTCGCCATATTACATTTGTGCTGTTGTACGCGCAGGCCTTCTTCAGGTGGTTGGAATGTCAAACTGAACCCTTTATTTCGCTCACTGGGGTACCTATGGTTACTGAGGTGGCAAAAATGTGCTGATTTTGGGAAAATGACTAAAGCTGAGATCCCAATCAATATAATTTCTATTTGAAATACACGAGTATTTTGCTTGCTGGAAATAGTAAATTTAATCATTTAGCTTTCAATTAAATGGGTGGCTACACATGACGTTATCAAAAAATAGGGATGATGACTAGTAAATTTAAAGCCAGAACATTCATAAAAAATTTTAAGTTACTGAGTACTTAAAAATGAAATAATAAAAAAGAAAAAAAAAATAGGTGTTCACATCATTTGCTTCAATTATGTTTTACAGGTGAAGTTTCTGTAGAACATGTCAGCCCCTTGTCAAACAAGAATGCTGTTGGTATAAAAAAAATGCATTTCTGCAATAAATTTAAACTTAAAGAAGATATTTATTTCAGATTAATTATACTTTAAATCAGTTAATATTCCTCATAGATTCAGAAAAGTGTTAATATTCCTCATAGATTCAGAAAAGTATATTTTATTTTGGGAGGAGGGAGATTTAAAGAATTGCTTTGCAATTGAGACTATGGTAGTAGGGACTCCTAGTCTATTTAAATTAGTTTTTGAAATCCAACAAAGTATTTTATTGAAAATATTAAATTTAATTGCTTAGCTTTAAGTTAAAACTAAAATAAAAGCTTCAAGAAAGATTGTTTGTTTAAAAATAAAGTTCGCATTATTTGCATTGTTCAGGTTGTCCTCATCTTTGTCATATTCACATTTTGGTCATTGTATGCTCTGGCCTTCTTCAGGTGATATATTAGAATTTTGAACCAAACCCTCTTAGTCCACTGGGGTATACTGTTTTGTTTCATGTGTCAAGGCTTTTCTGGATATGTTTCAGTTATTTCCCTTTAGTAACTCAACTCTGGGTCAAATCACTGGGTTATTTCAACCAACACTTTCTAGATGTTATCTAATTAGATAAAGTTTTGATTATTAAATTTCTACAAGATTTCTTGTTTTTAAAATTAGAATAAGTGATAGTTTTTTTTTTTTTTTTTTTTTTTAATCTTTCCATTTCATTGGTGTAATAGTTAGGGAATGTTAAGTAAAACTATATTTACTAATCACAAATCAAAAGGCTTATTACAGTCCGGGAGTATACCAGTAATTTTTTTTAAAAAAAATTGTTTTTGTATAAACTTGCTAGTTTTTGTAGGTACAGATGGTCATGCACTACATTATCGGAAAATAAGAGCGATAATGTTAACAAATTCAAAGCCAGAGTAACATTTGATTGCAGACAATATTTTCCTAAATTTTCAAGGCTACTTAGTACTTGGGAATTGTATATGAACAGTGTGTGTAGAGGTGTGTGTCCCAACAAATCTGATTAATTATATGTTAAATCAGCTAATATTTATCAGTTTCAGAAAAGTATATTTTGGGAGAATTACATTGAAATGATGGATGAGTGAAAATGGTGCTAAATTAAAAAAAAAATTGAAAGGAAAAATCCTTTGAATTTAAATTAGTTTTTAAATACAGCAAACTTTTTTGCTTATTAAAAGAAACTTTTGTATATTTGTTTACATCATTAATATATGGGTCCTTGCTTTGATCTTACTTTTAAATTCTATAAGTAAGCTTTCACCTTATATAAATTTAGGTTTACTGCTCCAAACAATTTCTACATCACAGTTAATTACTTTTACATTTTCATAACTAGCATCATATACTTCTAGATTTGAATGTGAAGTAAGTGTTTAGAATACACTATAACTGGGGAGGGGGTCGACTTACATGAATTTAAATAAATTTTGTGTTTTTTTTTTTTTTTTTCTGCGTGTAAATTATATTCTGTTCTTGGCATTCTTTTATTTATGGATGTAACTTTTTGTAGTAGTAAATTTTTGATTTCATCAAATCTCTAGATAACATAGGGTGGAAATCTCTTAAAAGATGCTTTTTCTTTCTTTTACCTACCTTTTTAGAGGAACCACCAGTCGTCGCTTTGTTGGCCACACCAAGGATGTTCTCAGCGTTTCCTTCTCGGCTGACAACCGTCAGATTGTGTCTGGCTCTCGTGACAGAACTATCAAACTGTGGAATACTCTTGGTGTTTGCAAATACACTATTACGGTTTGTTGCATTCAGTTTATTTGTAAATATGAAACCTTGGGCAAATAGCAAACGAGTAAGCAATGCACATTTGCACTTCATTGGATTTAACTGGCATGCGTTTTTTGTGAAACCAAAACTTAAGAGGAATTGCTTTTCGTAACTTGTGATGCCCAATGATTAATAAATTCATGTATTAGCTATTGAAATATAATTTGAAAAAAACTTGCATATGAGGGCATTCTTTTTGTAAATATTAAGCATTATTGTTAACATGCTTGTTTTGTAATTTAACAAGTGTTAAAATATTTTAGTTTGGTATTTATTTCCAGTCTTGGTATAGAAATTAGGTCAATATGGTTACTTCATTAAAATTCAAACAAGGACACAGTTTAAAGTTGCAACAAAGAGGCTGGGGGGGGTGAAGTTTTTTCTTTCTTTTTTTTTTTTTTTTTTTTTTTTTAACACAACTCCAAACAAGGCAATGAAAAAGGGATGACAGAACGTGAGAAAAAACTTTCCCATTGCCATAATGTGGCCTGTGCCTTTTCTATAAATATTTTCATGGTAATTACTCTATCAAGCTTCCCTCTTTGGTATACCTATAGACTTGATGAATTTAAGTCTGCTGCTAGATTAGCAGCAAGACTTCATCACTTTACAGTTGAAGTATGTCAGTTGTTATCGTCTGTCTTCTCAATCATTATCTTGTTTTATTGCTCTCTCGCTCTCAAGTTTTCTTTTCTCACATTGTCACACCTTGCCTCTTTTAGTGGTTTTAGTGAGATCTAAATTTAAGAGAAATAGGTTTCCATAACTTATGATGCCCAATGATTAATAAATTCATGTATTAGCTATTGAAATATAATTTGAAAAAAATCTTGCATATGAGGGCGTTCATATTGTAAATATTACGCATTATTGTTAACATGCTTGTTTTCTAATTTAGCAAAAGTGTTAACATATTTTATTAGTTTGAGTTTTTTTTTTTTTTTTTTTTTTTCAGTTATAGTAGGTAGCTCCATGAGATTGCTAAAAAAAAAAAACATAGCGTGATGAAAAAGATGCCAAACTTGACAAAAACAAAACTTTATAGTCTAAATGTTTATTATTAAGAGGAAAGATCAGTTGTTTGTTGTTTTTTTTTTTTTTTTTTTTTTTTTTTTGTACTTGGCTTTCACCTTTATGATGGTTTATGGAAAATATATTAAATTGAAATAAGACTGAGAGTGGGATTAAATTTCATAAGAAAGGTATCTAATTTATAGGTTCCTTATGAAATTTTATCAGAAGCATACAGAAAATACCATAATTTTATGTACATTTATTGCATTTTGCTGTGTTACTTGTATTTCCATTCATTTTAATTTTGATATTTTATTTATGGAAAAATGTCATAACAGATTAATAATTAATACTTGAATAAATTGAATGAAGAAACAATGTCATCATTGGCTTTCAATTCTAGAATTGAAACGAAAACTAATAAGGAGCAAAGTATGAATCACAAAACACTAAATATTCATTGAAACAAAAATAAACATTTATAATGGTATTTTGATAAATAAATGGATGATGACAAAAATTGGTGCTTAGTGGGGAATGTTTTCTTTGCTATTTCTTATTTATAAGGAAAATATGCAAATGAAATGAAAAAATGTGCTTTTAACTAATATAATCACTAAGCTGAATGCATTTGAATTTCTAGTTTTCATAAAAATAGTTATGGTGGGGGGTAATAAATATTAAAAAAAAAAATAGATTAATTTCCATCATCTGCAAATAGTTTCTGAAAGTTTATTTTTATTTTTGCAACATTTTCCAAATTAATGTCTAATACAAAAAAGTGCTAAAAATTGTATGTTGTTTTACTAGTTCTGATGATACAGAGAAACAAGGTTTATTTTTTTTAATCAAAATTTAGAATGTTCTAAAGGGAAAAAATTAAAAAAAAAAAACAAACTTTGGTCTTTCCTCTTAATAACAAACATTTAGACAAAATTGTTTTTTGCCAAGTTTGGCGTCTTTTTCATCGTGCTATGCAATTTTTTTTTTTTTTTTTTTTTTTAATAGCAATCTCATGAAGGTACTTAAGTTCTAGTATAGAAATTAGGTCAATATGGTTAAACCAAGCACTGCACTTTGAACTGTGCTGAATTTGAATAATTTATAAGTGGTCACTAGTTTAGACAATGTTCTTTTTTGCCCAATGATTCATAAAAATGCTATATTTGATAATCAGTGAAATAATTCCTGCAATTATGAGGGCATAAAAGTTATTGCTATTAGCTAATTTTTATTATTCATATATAACTGTTCATAAACTTGAGACTGGTGTTTTACTATAGCCTTCTTTGTGGTTTTGAATTGTTTTGCTTCTCTGAGACTGGTTTCCACTCAAGGATAGGAGAACCCATTCTAGCTTACCAGCTTACAATGCATGTGTGAACAGTATTGAAAAGGAAATGTATTTGATCAAATTTCTGAAGTAAACAAAGCATTCACAATGAACTTTCAAAGATGATTGTGCAGAATTAGATATTTATTACTATTCTCAATTAACTATTATGTAGATTGTTTTTTGCTTCTTGTACAAATTCAGTTTTCTTCATAATGTGAGTGGCGGGTGTAAAGTATTAAATTTGTAGAAATTGATCTCTTTGCCCGGTGATTAAGAAAATTTGATATTTGATAAACATTGACATAACTCCTGCAATTATGAGGGCATAAAGTTAATCTATTTTGATGTGAAAACAAATTTTTTTTGTCTAAAAACTAAATGTATGAAAAAAAAATGTTTACTGGATACTTAATAAAAATGTCACCTTTTGTGAGAAAATGGTAAAAATGTCAATTTTGGTTTTGTGTAACCTACTTTTGGCTATGGGGGGAGAGAAAAAAAAACAATCATTGAATTGCATTGGTTACACGGATATTACAAATTTTTTTTTTTTTTTTTACCCTTGTAAATTGCAATTAAAAATTATCTATGGAGAGCTTCATATTTCTTTTCAGGAGGATAGCCATCCTGATTGGGTGTCCTGTGTAAGATTTTCTCCCAGCACTGCCAATCCAATTATTGTGTCTTGCTCATGGGACAAAATTGTCAAGGTAACTTTTCAGACTTTTTTTTTTTTTTTTTTTTTTTTTAAAGACTGGGTTTAAATTCTGTAATTGTATTGGAATTGTGGCAATTTAGGAAATTATTGCAAGTTTGGTCATTTTCTAGTTTTAAAAATATTTTGAGATGACAGTATTTATGTTGTAGGTTTGGAATCTTACCAACTGCAAGCTGAAGACCAACCACTATGGGCACAGTGGCTACTTGAATACTGTGACTGTTTCTCCTGATGGATCACTCTGTGCTTCTGGTGGCAAGGTATATCTTAACATTTTAAATATAGCCCTCTTTATTTGTATATCCATGGCCTATTATGTCTTTGTTTTGTTTTTTTTACCTTGGTCATTTAATTTAACTGATAAATATAAATGGTGTGGCCAGTATTTGTCATTTGAAAGTCCTCAAATGAAAGACTGAATAAAATTTAACTAGCTTGATGGCTTGTAGCAATTGTATCTTTTAAATCGGTTTAAATTAAAAATTTTTGGCCTTTTTATTTTTTCTTTATTAAAAACAAAATTAGCTAGTAAAGATCTAAAATATCCATTACAGTATCTGTCTTCATTTCAACCAATTTTTTTTTTTTTTTTTTTTTTTTTTTCCTGTTACAGGATGGCCAAGCTATGCTGTGGGATCTTGGAGAAGGCAAACACTTATACACTTTAGATGGTGGTGATGTGATCAATGCCTTGTGTTTCAGTCCTAACAGATATTGGCTGTGTGCTGCAACTGGACCAAGCATCAAGATTTGGGTATGTTGCTTCGTATTATTTAAGATGAATTTTTTTTTTTTTTTTTTTTTTCCTCAAACCATACATGTTTGTAGATGGAAAAAAAAATTTTTTTTCTTAATTTCCAATTCCAGGATCTTGAAGGCAAGAATGTTGTTGATGAGCTGCGTCCAGAAGTGATCACCCAGAGTACAAAGTCACAGCCACTTTGCACATGCCTTGCCTGGTCTGCTGATGGTCAAACTCTGTTTGCTGGCTACACGGATAACAATATCCGTGTTTGGCAAGTCTCCACTGCCACTCGATAAACATTAGACGTTTGGGGAAAGAAAAAAAAGATGAAACTCACATATTGTGAATTTGCCTTTGAAATAAAATTTTCAAGTTTGGGCTGCAAACCTTTTCTTTTTCTTGTCACGACTTTTATTAGATTTTTTATTATTCATGGGAACTGAGTCCTGTAAAGGAGAAAAAATTGGGGGTGATGTTATTTCACAGCTGTTTGAGGTTTCCTATAGCCCCACTGAACTTAAATAAAGTCAATTCAGGTTTCCTATGGTAAAAATTCTTTCTCAAGTGAAAATCATCACAAAAATGGCAAGTCATTTTGTGGCAGCTTATTTTCTCTCAAAAAATGGATTTTCATACTTTTATAGGGGTAAAATATTGAAAAATGACTATTATCACCTAAACTAATATCAAGGAAACTTTTGATCTGAACCCCATGAAACTAGGTATTTTCTGATAAGCAAAGGATATATTCTTTCATTTAAAAGTAAAATTAGCTGGTGAAAATTTTGCTTTTTTTTTTCTCTTTTTTTCCTGAAAATCAGAAAGCCGAAATTACAATTTCAGGCATAAAATTGAGTTTTGAAGGAAATCAACATTCCTAGGGGTTCAAAATGTGACAAAATCCATTGTTAATTTTCAATTGACTGCCAAGGGTTTAAAAAAAAAAAAAAAAAACTGCAATTCCTAACCATCAGAAACCAAAAGACCCCCCCCAATAGAGATAAGAAAATTAAGCCTAACTAATTGACTTTGACGTTTATGTCAAAGGTCAGCTAGCAATAAATGGCAAACCTTAGAACAAGTTGTAATAAAACCCACGAGTGGGGAAAAGGGGGGGTTCACCATTACTAAGGCTTGATGAGTTTTTTGTTAACACCCCATGAACCGGGTGATGACAACACTTAGCAGATGACATTGTTGTTGTTTTGTTCATGCCAAATGAAAAAGAAAGGAATGAATTTTGAAGCAAAAATTTTTTTTTTTTTGTTTCATTAAAAAGGGGGGTCTCAGAAAATTGGGCATAATTTCTTAATGCGAGCTGGCAAGTGACATTTTCCACAGCCAAATCAAAGATTAATTACCAGTGAATAATTCCATGTGCAAACAATAGCTGCTGGTTGGTTTCCATTATTTCATCTTGATATCATCAAGGATTCAGGAAACCAGTTTGGCATAAGTTTTCTTTAAGAACTTTACATTCTATGAGGTGTTTGAAATGTTACTGATGAATGAGATTTTTTTTTTTTTTTTTTGTTTACATGCCATGTTGGATTTTCCTATATGACAAAAACTGGTTTTAAACAGCTGTGATTTGCATTCCTAAAACAACCAGCAGATGCTTGAGTTGTGCAAATTTGACAGCAAATGTAGGTCCCTCAAAAAGTATAGTATAAGCAATAAAGGACTGTATACAGAAAAGCCAAATGAAATGGATGAATCAATCTATTTTAAAGCTGATGTCATTCATATGGGGCTGCATGTTCATTTAGAGAACACATTGATCACTTCTCCAATATTCAAACTGGTGTGATTGAACTTTTTTTTTTTTTTTTTCTTCAGAAAAGGTATGTAAAAATTGGTAATTTAACCACCAGTTTGAATTTAAATTCATTAAAAGATATATTGCTAAGTCCTAGATTGGAGATTTTGGAATGTGGCAATTCCACAAGTGATATGGAGGAGGATAAAGCAATGCTAAAGGTTTGTGAAATTGTTATAAATCTACCATTAACACAGACAAATCAGGTGAAAAGATAGTTTATCCAGGTTTTTAATCCTCCAGTTGCTCTGAGGCTGCCATTCATTAGAGTTTATTCTGTTAGACCATCACCTAAGAGAAATTTCAGAAGGCAATAACTTTGTCATATTTCAGAGACAACTTTATTTACTGCTTAAGAAAAGGTATAAAATGACCACTAAAATTAGAATTTATTCATCAAAATATTAAATGGTTGATAGAAAAGTTAAAGCAGTTCATGATCTGACTGATTGAAGTTTATTTTCAAGCTGATTTGTATAGAAAAAATGGATGTTGAAAATTAGAACATTTAATCAAATGCAAACAATATTTGGGAAATTTTTAATTTGATTATGAATTGAGCTGTTGGGAGAGGTTAGTTTGCAAAAATATCCCCCATAGGGAGCCAGATATTTTTACATTGTGTTGCATGATATATGAACTCCTCTCCTTGGCCTTGGTCAGCTTTGGTCCAATCTCTAATTTGTCCATAATTCACAAATGTTCTTTTGCAATTGTCAGCTGAAGTGTACTCTACAAATTTGGAGCCCTCAGCTGATCCAAAATACCACATGGCCTGCAGGTCTTGATGCTCAGTCAAATACTTTGTGAGGTGATCACGATCACCAGTTAAAACATTGATTACACCGCCAGGAACATCAGAAGTATCAAAAATCTGGAAAAGAAAAAATGTTAAGCACTAATCACTCATTTCTGAATAAAAGCGTATAATTGCTTGTGCACATTTGTGTTTGTTCAACACCCACAGAGCCCACTTGTGGTTTATACTGCAAATATGCTGAGCAGACTGTAGATACAGTTTCTATGAGAGAACGTTATCTAGTGTGATCAATCTGAACAAGGGTTACTTCGTGCTAGCACAACTATCAACAGTCTCCTAAGTGTTCAGTCTACCCAATTTCACTCAAGCTGCCACACGCTGAGATCGTCCCCCTCCAGACCAATAACATCAAAGTCTCCTTCCTGCCAAATCAACTCATGGTCAGAAAGCTAATGTTCTAACTACTTAGATTTTTTTTTTTTTTTTAAATGGGCACATTGCTATTTAAGTGAATTAAAATGGTTATGGATTATTTATAAAAAGGAGGGAAATTGTTCTAGTAGTGACATAATCCAAGATGAGATTAATAAACAGAAAATGTTGGCCAACTGCAATCTGCTATTTATTTACCTCGTATATTAACGGTGTTGTATGTTGACTATTTGGGTGGAGAATCTTTACATGATTATTGTTATATACAACTCTAGCAGGAAGTAATCCCATAAATAAGAACTTACCTGATACATATTTACAGCAGCCAGTGGATATTTTTGACTTGGAATGATCACAACTACATTACCACGAGCTACAGCAGGAGCAAATAAGGAAATAAAGCTAAGCAGTGGATTTTCATCAGGACAAGCAATGCCAACAACTCCAACTGGTTCATGGAGTTTCACTGTTAAACCATACAAAGTAGTTTCCTGCATAAGAGAAGAATAAAAACACATTCACTTCCATAGGCTATTAGTTTTTTATATATATATTTTATATATATATATATATATATATATATTTTTTTTTTTTTTTACTATTCCTTCTGCAACTACCTTCATTCCAATGTTGCTGTTTAATCATTGGAAAAATCCCCATTGTTATACACTAACAAGAAAATGCTGGAAGTGTTTTGTGTATGTGTAAAATAAATATATACACACACACAAAGCCTTTTCAACCTTTCACACAGTTAAGTAGATTACTTCTTTCAATTCTCTAAATATTTACATTATGTTTCCCAGAAATTTAATCTCACTGGTATAAATTTCTTTGTTTCTAGTTCCCTTAACATTAATCAATAGAATCACATCTGTTTTTTGTGAGGACATTTTGCAGCATTTGCTGCTATATAGATTAGATATTACATAGAAATTTCTAACTTCCTACCGTAATACCCTGCTTAGTTTCTGGGAGACTGCTTTTGCCACTCCTATGCATCTTGGGATTTATTTGTTTTTTTTTTTTTTTTTTTTACATTGTCTTAGTACAGTGCCCAGTTAAATTTCTGTGCCTGCATGATTTTGACATTCCTAATCCTAAGCTGACACCATGCATTGTCTTAACCCATTACCTGCCCCGTACATATTGTGTTTGCACATGATGTCAGATATTCATGGGATGGGTTAATAGGCCTTTCTATTACTATTTCTTGCTATATAAAGTACAGTATTAAAAAAAAAATGATTTGAATTCAGTCAAGTAGGATGCAGTGATTATAGTCATTTCCATGCTGATCAGAATGAATTTTGGTAGGTAACAATTTATCTGAGAAACAGTTATTTGTCAAAAAATTTAGGACTAACTTTTAAAAATATATTGTTGAAGATAAAATCCATAGGTTTATAGGTTACTGAAACATTTCTGCTCTAAGAAAAATTTACAAACAAATATTCTAGAAATATACCTAAAAAAAAAAATTTCTTTGTCTCTTTTTGTGAGGGAGCATTCTTTCTTTTAGATGCTTTACATATTGGAAACACTGGGAAAACTTTGAACCCTCAGATTGATCATTTTTTATGAGGTAAAATTCATTTCTGTGGCAAAAACTAAAGTAAGTTATTAAAAAATGTTAATCTCAAGATTCTTCATATTTCCCAGAGAATTGTAAAATATCTAAGATGAAAGTGGCTGTTTAAAAAGACAGTTAAGTATAAAATCAAGGAATTTCTGTTTTTACATTATCTTGTTTGATATTAACTGAAAATTTCAGGCTTTTTAAAGGAACTAACAAAATAAAAGTTGGGTGTGTAGGCATTTTAATACCATACTCAGAATTATTATTCAATAGTTTCCTGAAGTAGATTGCTTAATTTAGGTAACCAGAGCATAAGCTATCAAATCTACTGAAGTTCTCAATAATAAAAATATCAGAGCTTTATGTGATAAAATTTCTTTGAAAAAACATGAATTGTTAAAGACATAAAAAAGCTCTTCTGCATAACAAGATTAAGAATTACTATAACTGTAAAGGTTTGACAGCAAAATATAATTTCACAAATGCTGTTAAACAAACCTAAAAACAAATCTTACCTGAACGGTGCCGCCATATTTATCACAATAGGCTGCCCAATAAAATAATCGCTCAACTGATAGGTCAACTTCTTCAAGGCAATTTTCATAATTTCTATTGGTCATTTTGTGTAAAAGCTGGGCATTTTCATCACGGCGTAATTCCAAGTTTTCAGCAATGTAGTACATTATCTGTGATCGAAGACGGGATGTCTTCTTTGCCCATCTGTAAATATTAATTTAGAAATAAACATAGATTTAAATATAAATTTGGTAAGAAGAGAATTTATTAGTAAGCAGTAACATTAAAAATGCTTAATAGTTTCTTAAAGGTGATTCAACTAGATGATTAAAGTTTCAAAATGGATTCTCATCAGTAAATAGATTTAAGTATTGACATTTATCTATATTTTCAATGCATTTTGATGATTCCTGATAAGAAATAGGTTTTTAAGATCTATATCTTAGTAATTTTGTCTCAAAGAAAGTTATCTTTTGTCTTAGACTGTCATGAACATAAGTAAACACCTGAGAATGTCTTAACTCAGTTTAAACAACCTTGAAAGAACACTATTAGAACAAACTGGTAGTGAATTTATTATATTACAAAAAATAAAAGCAAACTAGTCACAGGAGTCAAACTGCCAGAAGACATTTTGACCTGCACAAAATGTTCACCTACTGGCACACATATTTATGTAAAGCATGAAAAAAAAAAAAAAAACAGTAATCAGTATGAAACTAATCTAGGAAATAGAGAGGCTGGAACAGGATCTCAATACAACATTGCATCAGTTTTTGCCAGGTGGTTTTTGAAGTATCAGATCTTGCATTTAACCTGTTGCCAAAATGTCCGCAACTTTTGAAGTATCAGTTCTAAATAAATTTCATGAATTTTAGTACCTCAAAAAAAAAAAAAAAAACTTTCCTGTCCGCCATTGGCATACCTGATGCTAGACTCATGGAGAACAACACACCTTGGCCTCATGTTTTAAACCGACTTTAAGTGAAACAACTACACTGAATTAATAGCTGCATCGACTGCAAAGAAAGTTGAGACACTGTCATGCCAGAAGGTTTTCCTCATAGGTGTCCATCTTGCACATTTAAAAATTTACCATTTGTCTGTGCTACTCATCTCGAGGTTCTTGAGGAAATCCAAAGAAGAATCTGCAATGTAATCGACCCTGACTTGGCATCTTCAGTCACTACTTTCCCACTGGTGTGACATGGCTTCCCTCCATCTTTCCTTTCTACAAATATTTTCATAACAACTGCTCTGACAAACTTCTTTCCCCTGGTGCCCAAACTATGTTTGTTCAAGCATGATACTAGATTGGCATCTAGGTCCCACCCTTTTATTGTTGAATTAGTTAAATGTAACTACCACTTCTACTCCAATAATTTCTTTTCTTTCACTTCCCCACCTGTGGAATTCCCCTCAGTTTCCTTGCTTCCTCAATAACTACAATCTTCAAAAATTTAAATGCAATGTCAATCACTATCATCTTGAACTCCATTCAGCTTTTATCCTTTTCTCAGTCCCCACTATACCCGGTCTCTTCTCTCACCTTCATTCTCTGTAATTCTCTATATACTAGTGGCATTCCCACCTTCTTCAGGTGAAATGATAAAAAAAAAAAAATGAAGACAACTGATTATCTGATCAGAACAAAAGAAGCTCCACCAAATGTGATGACTTGCAATCATAATTGGCTTCATCATGGAGACTCTAAATCACATACAGCTTCATTCAATAGCTGACTCTAGCCTGCAAGCATTGTTGGTTCTATGAGTAGTTTTAGCAGCACAATGGCTGAGTTTGAACTCATGGACCACTATGACATGAAAATTGCATTTATTCATCTTTGCTTTGATACTTCATATATAAAAAAATTAAAATACTTAAAAAATGGAAACAGAAAATTGATGAGAGGAAAAAATGTGTATTAATGCAAAAATATTCCAACCTAAATTGAAAATGGTATGGATAAACACCAATAAATTTATCTAGTCACTTTCTTACCCTGATGCTGTCTTTTGGGCAATTTCCACTGCATTTCTTACATCTTTTCTATTACCTTCTGCTACAAGGCCAACCACTTCACCTTGAGGACTGAATATTGTTCGAGAAGCTTGGCTATCTGGACGTTTTTGAGCACCTCCATAATATAACTTGTAAGTGTGATCAACACTGAAAAAAAAAGATAAAAAATAGTTAATATGGAATTAAAAAAAAAATATATTTATTTTAGCATACTACTTAATTTAAAATTTTTGTCAGACAATCTAATACTACTTTGGAGATTAAAATTAGAAAAGACTTTGACATTATGCTGATTGTTAACTATTTAAAAACTTGGAAAGTGTTTGAAAACCTTTTTTTTTTCTATCTTATACATTTAATATTTTTACATCCAGGGTTCTCAGCCTAATCTTTGTATAAAATGATTTGGGGATATAGTGTAAAAGACAAACTGACAATAGTATGTATGTAGCTGCACTGGAGCACATCTAAAAAGATGAATGGACAAAGAAATACACACTAAACAATATAAACTTTCTCATCATATACAATGTAACATCACTACTCCAAATAAATGATGCAGTTAAGTTTATTACATTTTTGATTTTGTAAATTCTACAATATACCTGCCAATGTCACTTAATTCTTTTCTGATGTTCTTTCAAATTTAAACACTCCTCTTTTGAAGTTTTTTGTTAAGCTGTTCTGTTTTTTATTTTGCCTTCTGTTCTTCAGTTGATACTTTTTGTTGGTTACATTTTAAACATCCTTGATAATGAAAATGCTAGGCAATTAATTAAAGATATCAATATATATTCAAAACACCTCTCTTGGTTATAATGACATACATTTGGTGTTGAGTTATGAGATGTTGCTTTTAAATTTTCTACGAACATTGACAGTAAAGCCACTTTCAACACTGGCATTTCCATGTAAAAGAATCAAGATCAAGTGGTATACACTCCAGAATTCAAGAAATTTGTTTGAATCAATAATGTTATAATAAAATACATACAAACAATCCTTGTTCCAACCAACCCATTAAATAATTTCAACTATTCCTCAGAAACTTTGTAACACAGTTGCAAAAATTGTGCTTTAGCTTTGTCAGATACCACTGAAAAGATCCAAGCTAGCTTTGTAGAACAAAGGTATATCTTTGGCAATGTTACTGTCCAAAAACATTAATTTGACTAGTTCCAAAAGATCTTAAAGCATTATACAAAAGGTAACTTGCAACTACTTTTAAAAGGCCATAATGCTTCATGTTTGGGGACAAAATCTTTGCATATGTAAGATGGCACTGTGGCAAATTTTTTGCTGGTAGAAGTTGAAACTTGAGTCACAGAATCAGAAGATAACAGGGTACACATTATCTTAAATGAGTTTGATAGCTAATTTTGATAAGCATACTTTAATAAAAAAATAAAAAATAGTGTACTAATAGAAGTCCCTATATATATATATATATATATATATATATATATATATATATATATATATATACACACTGCATGCCAAATTATTATCGAGATAACTTTTTTTATAACATTTCAAAAACCGTCCAATCAATTCACATGATGTTGGCAACACTGACCTGCACAATCACTGAAATTTTCGACCTGATCTGCGCAATGTAAACAAACTGGCGCCATATTTGTTATCAGTACGGTCATTTGAGCGTGCCAAATTATTAGAAAGGTTTAGTAAAATTCCCAGAATTGAGCAAACAAAACATTTATTAATGTTGCACGTGAATGTTTATGATCAAAAGAAGCTGATAAATAAGATAATCAATCAAATAATAACAGATACAATCAAAGGCACAGTTTTAAACAAATTAATAGGGAATGTGCTTTCCCTGTTTTGAAATTACTTGAAGAAGTCGACAATCCATAGAATTTGTTAATTGTAGGATGTCATCTGCTGTAATGCCACAAGATATATCAATAATTGCTTCCCACAACTCAGCGTTGCTCCTGAATTGTCGTCCGTTGGTGTACAGTCTTCGCTTCATAATGCTCCAAAGGTTTTTGATTGGGTTAAAATCCGGAGAATTTGCTGGCCACTTTATTTTTCCAGGTCCATCGAAGACTGTTTCAAATATTCAGTAGTCTTGTGAGCAGCATGTGAGGGAGCATTATCTTGCATAAAAACAATGGCCCTTTTGAAGGCAACTCTTTGCCTTTTCATCCACGGTCCAAGATGCTCCTTCATAAACACTATGTATGCATCAGCAGTCATTTTGATGCCATCTGGTACTCTCCAGGGGCCCACTAATGTTTTTCCAATAATACCACCCCAGATCATTATGCCTCCACCGCTTTGTTGATGTCTCAAACGCTGATGGCAATTCTGTCCGTTCATTACCCAGATATTGCACCATCTATCTGGTCCATCAAGTGTTGCTCGAGTTTCGTCTGTGAACAAAACTTTAGAGAAGTCAATCTTCATATTGTCCTCAGCCCATTTCAATCAATTTTGAATGTGATTTCTCATCAACGGAGGCTTCGAGACAGGTTTGACTGTTGTTGCTATTTCCCTCAGATACCAACACCGAGTACTTTTAGACAGTAGGATCCCCAATGCGACTGAAAAGCTCTTGGCTGGTAAGTCCAGGGTTCTTTGTGGCCCCTCGTTTAAGTCATGACATGAGACGACGTGAAATAACCCTTGGCTTTCCTTTAACTGCCCTTTTGCATACTTGTGTAGGGTCGGCAGTGAACTTTTCCGCTGTTTGATGACACCTCCCTATCATTTTAGAAATTTCTAGGGTTGATTTACCTTTTGAGAGTTCTGAGGTGACAGTTTTCTTTTTAGCATTACTTAAACTGCTTTTATGGACCATCTTTTTACTAAATTCTTACACTTTTCTAATGACCGTACTGATAACAAATATGGCACCAGTTTGTTTACATTGCGCAGATCAGGTTGAAAATTTCAGTGATTGCGCAGGTCAGGTTGATTAAAGTGGGGCACAAATCCACCACTGAAATTTTTTTTTTCCTTTGATATAAATCAAAGTAGGGGAATGAGTGCTAGGGTACTTGGATAAGTATATTTCATTTTGATCAAAAGGGGTCCCCAGGGAGCACAAACTCCCCACTGAAAATTTTTTCCCTTTGGTTTAAATTTGGACAAGGGAATGACTCCTATTCAAAATATATAAGGAGAAAGCCAGAAGATGGAGGTCACATCAGCAAGATCATTGCATAATATTGAAATGCAACATTTTTTCCCACAAATTATAGCAATGACTAGCAGCATGACTCGACATTGCCCGTGCTTGATTCAAAAATCATACAGCAATCGTTATCACTTGACTTAAAATATTTTTGCCCTTCCTTGCCTTTAAAGGAGTGCCCTTTGCCATGCTGATGTTGCTACATGCCTTACTTCTTGCCTATCTCACACTGCAAATTTTTTCTAAGCTCTATACTAAACATTAAATCTGTTATGAAAAAAGAACTAAACAAAATGAACACAAAACGACCAGCTTTAAAAAAAGGACTCGTATCTGGAAAAACCGAATGAAAAAAGAATGTTAACAACAAATACATTTTCATACCCAACCCATTTCTGCAGAATCAATGTTGAGTTTAAGCAAGCGAATGAGCCAATTGGAGTAAAGTGCCATGCAGATTTAAATTGTTCCCACTTGTGATGAATGCAGCTATCGATTTTTTTTGCATGCTAGTTAACATTCGTGTCACGCTGGCCAATAGAATCTTCCTGCCTATTTGTGGCAGCCAGCGATAGGCTCTCACTCTGGCCAGTACAAAATGGCTGCAAACTACATAAAAACTGTTGCAGAAGCATGAAAAAAAATCGATTATTTCCACTATCAATGGGAGTTGGGAATTGCAAAGTCAGTCTTGGTCTTCCCGCTAACTTGGAGCATGTGCATGTAAATTTTGGTGCAAATCTGTCTAAAATTGCAGCCGTGCATTTGTTACACTCACACACACACATCCTGCCTTTTATAGATAGAGATTTAAAATCAATTGTCATTTTCTTACAAAAAAAAAAAAAAAAAAGAAGTGTGACACGCAGTAAGGTGCAGGTAAATAGGCTATTTCCTATATATTTTTTACTTTCCGTGTAACTAAAAAGTGCTTATCTTCCAATATTAGACAATGAAATTGTCTTTCAGTAAAAGCACCAATTTTAATAGGATTGTCTTTCACTGGCATGCCCTATGATGCTAATTCATGATTAAGACTTTGGTCCATCTATTCAGGATTGAAAGACGTAGATATCTTCAAATTCAAATTTTACTAATCTAGTAAACAAATATACATCACATCAATAACATTTAGAATTTATTTTCAATCTAAAAAAATTATATAATAAATAGGTTGTTCATTCAAATAGGTCAACTCAAGTTGCATTAGAAAATTCCTGGATTTCCTTGACATTAAGCCAAAAATCCCTGATTTACATGTTGGCTGTGAACCCTGAAATCTTTCCCTTTGATAACATTTATTTGAATTTTTTCTACCACCAAATTTATAATGTAAACATTTTCCAGACTTTGTTTGAAGAAAGTGCCATTTGTGCAAGAGTAAATTAGTTGAAACTTGGAGAAATTTCATTCTGTATTGATGAAAGCAAAGCCAAAAAAATTATAATTCCTAAAATAATAAGAAAAACATGAATAATCACAATACAAGCCAAGTAAGTGTAAATTTGATTTACCATGGTTTGTTAGTTTCATTTTGCTGAAAATCTATCTGCTCATTTCCTGGCATTGAATGAGTAAATTCAGCAGTTCCAAATGTTTTCATGTTAACTTCTAGTGATGGGAGGTGTGGCTTGGACATCCAGGCTGGCTGAACATATTCATACAAACCCTGTAATAGAAACCAACAATAGGAAAAAGAGAATTTAATCATTTATTTGTGAATGTATACAATTTCATTTTTTTTTTTTTAAATGAGTTTGTATTATAAGAAGCTTAAAAGTTGCTGAACATACCTCTTTGCCACCATCTCGTCCATAACCACTCTGTTTATAACCTCCAAAGCCAGCAGCAGCATCAAAAACATTGTGGCAATTTATCCATACTGTACCAGCTTTAATGCTGGTGGCTACTTCTAAAGCTAGAGCCGAACTTTCAGACCAAACACTGGCACCTAAACCATAAATAGTGTTGTTTGCAAGATTTATGGCTTCTTTGGCTGTTCGAAATGAGAGAGCCACGAGTACAGGCCCAAAGATCTAAAGTCAAAATAATTATTAAAAATAAAAATTATTGTATCAAGCACAGATAAGCTTACAGACTATATATATATATATATATATATATATATATATATATAAAAACACACACAAAGAAAGAGAGATGATTGCAGAAAAAAAAATGATTGGTTTAATCCACTATATCAATCTAAACTAAATGATTTATGGAAATTGTATAGGCCAGAGTTTGTTTTATATATATCTCTTACATTAAGTTAATGTAAGATATGTGTGTGTGTATGTGTGTGTATATATATATATATATATAGACACACAGACACATACATACACACATATACAAAAGATTTCACAAAAATATGAAAAATAAGTTAGATTTTATTGTTCAGAATGTTTACATTCACTCTTAATTGGAAGTGATTCCTAAATCTAAAATAACTTCTCTAGTTTTATCAACGTCATATAAAAGATATTGTGCAATTTGTGGGCTAGATATACATTTTCTTGATAATTTTATTCCACAAAGCTGAATAAGTCTAAATTATCTTAAGGATTGATGCAAATTAAAAAAAAAAAAACATCAAAAATTTCATCATGTATTAAAAAATTTACTTACTTCTTCTTCAACAACTTTAGAAACAGTCTGAACATTAGTAATTAATGTAGGTGGGTAAAAACAACCAGTTTTTGGCATTTGTATAGCAGGTTGGTAGACCTGAAATATTTTAAAAAGTGTTAGTAAATAAAAATTTGTACCTGTCATTATAAAACAATTTTTACTCATTTCATGATCAGCATCATTAATGTTTGAAATTTGCTTTGGAAAACCAAAAAAAAAAAAACCAAACAAACAATTATTTCACTTGAATACTAAAAAAAATTTGTCAGCAATGGCTAACAACAATTTCAATATTGACAATGATTTTAAACTTCAAACTAATATTTTTTTAGAATAATTTTTTTAAAACTGCTATAAATATGAAAAAAAAAAGTTGTCACATCTTTTTGTCAATGACATTAATGCATCATAAACTTAAGTACTTAGTCAAAGAATAGATATAAATTATTTTAAAACTTTTCTCATTTTCTACTGTAAGAGAATCTTTCAAATAGCAAGTCTTACCTCTGCTCCCTCTGCTCTTGCCTCTTCAACGTACTGATCAATTGTTTTCCTCTGTGATTCATCTACAATAGCCCCCATATCGATAGCCTTATCTTGACCACAACCAACCCTGAAATGGCTCAAACGTTGTACTAGTTTTCTTATTACTTTTTCATAAATGGATTCTTGGACAAGCAATTTAGAACCAGCACAGCAAACCTGAATATAAAATAAGATTTTTGTCAAAAAAAGGGTTGATTTGTTATATAATACCAAAAAGAAAAGGCTTTTTAATATGAATAAATATTACCTGTCCCTGATTAAACCAGATGGCATCAACAATCCCTTCAATAACACTGTCAATATCAGAATTTTCAAACACAACAACAGGAGACTTTCCACCCAGCTCCAAGGAAATCTTTTTGCCACTTCCTGCAGTTAATCTACGTAAAGTTTGTCCAACCTAAATGTATAGAGTAACATAAAAGAAAAATTTGACAGTAAAAGAAGACCATAATTCAGAACGTAATATTTGGCATGTAAGAACTTATGAATTTTTTTCAGTAATTACAACATAAATTATTTATATTATAATGAACTATCTGATTGATGAAATCTGTTTAAAAATTAAGTTCTTAACTTGGTGAAACAAATTAATGTCTTTTTTGCTAATTATTTTGGGAAAAACATTTCATTTTCAGATGAAATTTTATTTGTTTTTAATATAGTAACAGAGAAAGTGAAGCATCTTGAAGCACGCAAGTGGTAGCTATCACCTCTAGCAGACATACGAGTTGACAATTGGACTTGTTTTGAGCTCAGAAGGGCATGAAAAGAATCAAGATTGGCATATAAACACGTCTGTAGCTGGTTTTTGAATGTGTTTATTTGTCTGTGTCTGAAAAAGACACTTTTCATAATACATTTTTCATATACACGTCTACACTAGGGATAGGGGTTAAGCAATTATGGAACCATGAGTCATTAACAGGTCATTCTTTGTAGATAATGCAAAAAATATTTAATTATTTTGAGAGGATGAAGAATGTTTTTGACTCAATTAAAAGATATAATACTTATTAATAATAAAGAAAATAATAATGCTGAAATTTTAATTTTCTATAAAATGCAAGTTATAAAAAGGTAACCACAGTAAATTTTAAACCTTTAGGCTTCTGTTGAAAGAGTGTTTGCATACTTACTCCAGTTGATCCTGTGAAGGCCACTTTATCAACGTCTGGATGTTCAGCAACTTTACTTCCAAATGCTCCATTTCCTGTAACTACATTGAAAACTCCTGGAGGCAATCCAGCTTGAGCACACACTTCAGCTAGCAGCAAACAACTGAGGCGAGTGTAAGAAGCTGGCTTGAGAATAACAGTGTTACCCATAGCAAGGGCAGGACAGACTTTCCACATGAGAATCATTAAAGGAAAGTTCCATGGTACAATACCACAGACAACACCTAAAATAGAATGTAGTTTTTAAATTGATTGTTAAACTTAAATAGCAAAAATAAAAAGCAATTTGTGTAATTGTAAAAACACAATTAGCTTTCTTACTAATTAAGTAAATGCATTAAATTAAATACTTTATGCAGATGTAAATTGTTTGAAAGCAGATCATACCAAGAGGTTTCCATCCTTTCATCTCTGTATCTCTTAACTGAGCCCAACCTGCATGATGATAGACATGATTGATGACAGTGGGAATGTCGTAGTCTCTTGTCTCTCGCATAGGCTTCCCATTATCTATGCTTTCCAACACAGCAAAAAGTTTCTGATGTTTTTGAATATTTCTTGCAATACTAGAATAAATAGTGATAAGTTTAGTGTGTTGACTACTTCGATAATAAATGTGTAAGGTTTTTTATGAGAATATTTTATAATATATGAAATAATAATGGTGAAAAGGTACATGCACACAATAAGACCGATTTGATTTGCAATGCAAGATAACATTTATTAAACAAAATTAACAAAAGGAAAGTTTAAGAGTTTCTTTTCTTAGAAGTAAATTACATATACAATAAAATCTTAATGAATGTATTTGAGTGTGACTTGCCTGTGTAGGTGTATTTGTGTGAAGCATCTACAGCCCTTTTTGCTTCAGTGTGAAAAGTTTATGTCACACACTTCAAAAGGAGAAAAACAGGAAGAGAGATACTTTAAGGGTTCATGTTTTTTATACCCCTAGGGCTGATGCTGATACTATGTTTATTAAGGCACTACATAAGAATATGCAATAAACACTGTTACAGTCAAAATGGAAACTGCTATATTAAACTATCAAATCAAAGAACTAATATTATGTAAAATAAAAGGTGATATGAATCCTAGAGCCTGTCCATTGAAAATAATTTCAAAGGAGATGAATTAGATGTAACCAGTATACATATAAATGGACTTACAAATAATTTTTGAATTATTATAAATAGACTTACTACAAATTACACTTCTGTTTAATTTATATTCTAAGAGTTTGTAACTTTCACAAGATTAGAAATTATTTTTAATCAAATGATAATATTTAATCTAAAAATATAATTAAGATTTTTAGAAAATGATTTTTTTTAATTAAAAGGCTATAAAATGATTAAAGAAAACCGTTTTATTCCCAAATTACTTTAGAATAAATAAATAACAGTTATACTAAAATCATTAAGTATAGATTATCAAACAAAAGAATGAAAGGATTGCTTAAAAAGTTATTGCAAGCCAAGATGAGGCTACTTGTTAAGTAGAAAAAGTTGTTAGAAATCTTGGTATTAACAGTAAACAGTAAAAGAGCACTGATGCAACAAGATGGGTGATGACCCACTTGTGCTAGGCAAATATGACACCGAAGAGGGTCAACAAAGAGTTAAAAGTAGATAGTCTCTGTTTTAGTCTCTCGGTTGAGAGAAGGTTTGTGTTTAAAGATTATTGGAATTAAATGTGAAAAAAGAATTAAATTTTGAGAAATCAGATTAGACAGTTCTTATAGAATTAAATCCAAGTGATAAGTTAGTAACTACACTTGCAAAATCAGGCAAAAATGACAATAAATCACTTCCTCAACTGGAATCTAAAATTATTTCTGAAAATCCTTGAAACTAAGCTGTTTATATAAAGATTTAACCATTGGATTGGTTTAGTTTCTTAGGCAAAATAATTTTAGAAGGAAATACTCAGCCAACTGTGTGGCTTGTTTTCATAAAGATATCTTCACCAGTGGTCTTATAGAAAGAATATTTTGGGGGAAAGTCAGTATGTGTAAAAAGCCAGTCAAGTATAAGTAAGGGCTTGTCAAATTAATGATCAACTCTTACCAATATATAACTGGTGACAGCAGATTCTGTTCCTATATAAACAATGCAAATCAACTAAAGTAGGCAGTTGAAATAATAGCAAAAACAGACCTATATAAGTAACGTGCTCGCACATGTGAAGATAGAGCACTCCAAGACTTGAATGCTTTTCTGGAAGATTGTACTGCCCTTTCAGCATCTTCTTGCTCACCTTGTGTTGTGGTTGCAAGAACTTCACCTGAGCAAGGAAATAAATGAAACTTTGTATGACCAGAAAAAAAAAAGTAAAGATATTCATGCTCTTTCAAATATTTACTTTCCATAAAATTTATTTCCATAAAACAAAATCATTGTATATTTAACATTTAAAAATATTGGCAGATATTTTATGGTAATAATTATAAAATCCAAATTCAAAATTCTCAAAATAATGTAAAGCAAGAGAAATTAAGTTTATTCAAATTTGCTTTCTGAAAAACTATAAAAAAAAATAAATAAAAAAAAATAATAATAATACAGTAGGTTCCACATCTTACACCAGTGGTTCCCAAACAGTGTAGTATGCCTCATAGGTGCAGCAGGAGAGGGTAGAAGGTGAGGAGGAATTACTGAAAGACTATCAAAGATCTAGAAACAGTTTCAAAAAATTCATATACCAAAAATAAATATGATTTCAAAATTTAAAATATTGTCATGGATTACTTGTAATTGCATGCATGAATCCCAGTATAAATCATTATAAATAATCATTGACCGATTTTATCATTGTGATATATCAAATATTAAGAATATAGTAACTGGGGTTCAGAAATTGGAGGAGAGAGTTATCAATGATAATGTTCCGACTTGGAATCCACTGTTATCTCCCTTTAACCCTCTCAGTTTTTTTAAACGTACTTTTTATCATAAAAAATTTAGTAAGGCACGAGCAAATTCCGAAAGTGTGGCCCGGAGAAAAAAAATTTGGGAACCACTGTCCTACATAATTAATTTGTTCTCCAACATTCATGTTATTCAAAAACTGCATAAGGGTCTTCCTTTAAATAAAGGATGTACATTAATGTTTTGAAGGCAGTATAAAATCATCTTCTCTGGAGATTGACAGCTGAAGATTTTCAAGAGTGGAATGTAGTTTCCCAATTGTGAAATTTTTGGCAAAACTCCTAGAAAGTTGCTTTCTTTATTTCTCTTGGCTTCATCAAACATCTGCTGCAGTCACTCAAAGTCATATGTGATTACATAGGTGATATGTTGGTTTCCTTTCAAAGAGTCATTCCTTGATTATATCCTTTAGAACTAGGGCCTTGTGAAAAACTTCTGCGAACTTCTCCAATGTCCAGTGATAGATGGGCTTTCACTTTTACAGCTGCTTCTTGCATCAACAATTTCAGCAGTTCTTTCAGGTATTCATTAATAAGTATTTCATAGAGCTTTTATTGTGTCATTTAACATCTCAATCATATTAAAGAAGTGTTCCTCATAAAACTTGTGAAATCTCCTTTATTTCTCTATCCAGTGTATGGAAGATCTTGAAGTCATTAACTGCTTTGCTCCATAATGCCATCCAGTAGGCATTATCTGTTGAGTTATTGACTCAACAAGTGGTTGCAGGAATGATGTTGAGTTTGGAGGTAGGAACCACATTTATCCTCATACATTAAAGATTTAGCATGAGTGAAAACATTGTTAATAGGCACTTTAAATAACAGCCACTTCTTCAGGTATAAAACAGTTGTGGAACCAATCTAGGAACAAAATGACCCTGAACCATGTCACCTAATAATGCTACCAGAATAGGGCAACAGTTTTGTTTTTGCTCTTAAAGGCATGGTTTGATCATATGACCTATAGCATTATCATATAGCACCAGAGTAAAACAATCCTTCCAAGCCTTAATCCTGATGCCTGGTTGGCACTCTTATGGATGTAGGTACGATTTGATGTTTTTTTCTAGAAAAGGTCCACTTCATCCCCTGACAATAGTTTTTTCTTTGATTACATTCTAGGAACTTTGATGTTGCTTCTGTATCAGCTGACACCAATTCTTGCATGATCTTGAGGTCCTAATGCTTTAAAAATGTATAGAATGATTTTTTACTAGCATTAAACTCTTATTGTTCTCAACTCACTGTAATCTTCATATAGGTTAAGCATTTTTTCGTACAGAATATTTTTGTCAACAGGGACACGTTTCTGCACCCTGTTCTCTAGTTACACATTTAATGCTTTCTCTGTTTCTACAAGCACTTTTATCAGAAGCCAGAGACACTATTTTGGCACTTGTAACTGAAACAAAGGAAAAATAAAATAGAAAGTGTTATAAATTTCCATTTTACTTTGGCTATTCAGATGTTTTTTTTTTATCCAATGCTTGCAACTTTTGTTGGAGACTTAGCCATTTTCTAACTTTTTTAGGCTTTTCGGCACGGTCTTTAGCAGTTACCACCTAGCTTGGTGGGGGAGATGCTACTTCTCAGACAAAAGGGTAATATAAAAACACAGCATAATAAGCAAATACTACAGACATGTGCAGCAAGGAAATTAGGAACTCTTTAACATAAGTAAGATAAAGCCAGGAAAAGAATGGGAGTGAAAGGGGTTAGGGTTTTCTCCCTTGCTTTAAGTGATGCAGTTTTGTGTGTAGCAAGATGTTCAGAGTTTTAAAACGTTTTAGAATTAAAAAAAAAAAAAAAATTCCCATGTATGTTCAAAACCATACAAAACAGACACATTGTACTATGTTATACATGACAAACATCCCGAATATAAACAAAATTTAAGCTGAAATTATTCATATGATGTATAAACAAATATTTTGATTATATATTATCACTTATCAATACAATTTTAAATATTTGCTATTCTATTATAAGTTATTTTTCTAAATTTTGCCACTCCCTTATGCCTAATTTATGAATAAAATAAAAGTTAACATTAATTATTTTAACTGGCGACACTTAATATAAAACCTTAGATATCAATTTTCAGAGAATGTTAAATGAAATTCATTAATAAAAAAAAGAACTTTATTGCACTAGTAAAATCCAAATTTCATATCAATATAAAAATTCTCAAACACACACACAAAAAAAAAAAAAAAAAAAAAACCAAAGGAAATAAAAAAAATTCTTTAAAGTTAACTACAAGCAATAATGTACTTGACAAATATATTTTCAGTAAAATGATTTTAAAATGTAGCAAAATAAAAGATGTGCTTTTAAGAAACTGAATAATACTTCTAAAATTATCTTTAATGGAAAGAAACTCTTTAGAAAGTGATTTGGAATTGTAAATTAATTTTTAATCAAAATTATTTTACAAACATTTCTTATTAAATGTAATTAAAAGTAAATAAGCCAACTATAAAGGACTTTCACTTAATTTTATCACATTTAAATCTGCAACCCCAAAAAAGAGAGGGTCCACTCAACACTTGTTAAAATTAGGTTTATCTTTAATCATTTGTAAATAGGGGAAGTTTAATTTGGTCCTAAATTTAAGAAACTGGATAATATGTTAACTTTTTCATGTAGATTGTTAAAATTAACAATCTTTAGTCTTTAATATAGGAAAAGTTTATGTAAATGAAATTATAACTTCTTTTAAGTATACTTAAAGTATTTTTTAATAAATTATTTAATTCTTTATTCAATTTACAAAGATAATATAAAATACAACTTTGAACAAATATGAGTACATTTTAAAAATTATAAATATTTATAGTTACCATTGCATACTGCATGTTTGAATAGCAAAATTTATCTTCAAGTTCACTTTTTTGTTAATAGAACAAAAATGTTTACAGCATTGAAAGAGAAAGAAAATTGCTTTGGTATAATCCTTATTAACAGTGATCGAACAAAAGAAAATATAAGCTATACTATTTCAAAAGTGCCAGGTTTTGTTTAATGCTATTTAAAAAAAGAAATCAGTCCATACTTATTGGCTAGAGAATATGTCTTAATTCCATACAGAATAAAAGAAGTGAGCAAAGTAGATATTGAAACAATGAAATGTAAATAAAAAAAAAAAAAAAACAGAAAAAAGTGGCTCAAACAAACCTGTAGCAGGATTTTTACTTGCAAAAGTTTTCCGCCCTTCTGGTTTGAACCATTGTCCATCAATAAAATGACCAAATGACCTGTTATGCTTATCAAGCCATGCCTAGAAAAGCATTGCACAATATTAATTTCATGAAATATTATTTCTTTATTGTTACCAATATAAAATACAAGTAAATATTATACTTTTAATTTATATTAATGCAATTTAATCTAAACTTCAATTATATTAAGAGTTTAATTATTTTTCATACAATGAAAGGTTTTGAATGATTATACTGATGCACTGCATTATAGCAGAGAATTTGAATAAAAGGAGAAATTAAAGTCTTGCTAAGTACATAGTTTTAATATCATCTATATTTGAGAGACAACAAAAGTTCATAAACTCAAAACTTATTCAATAAAAGATTTCAAGGAAACAAAAATGGTTCAGTGATAAGAGAAAAATAAAATTTAACAAGATTCCCAGCATATCATTCTGTTATCTAGATACCATCCTAAATTTTTCTAATAACTCTGAACCACTCAACTCTTCATACAATATTTGTATACACTGATAGGTTTAAACGACAACAAAGGTATTACAGATATGTAAATAAAAGCATAAATACAAATATTTAAAATTAAAACACTTATTTTAAAACTGAAAAAAGTTAAATCGGAGGTGGAAGTTGGTTGGAGTAAAGAAACATATTAGACACTGGTTTGGAGAAATGACCAAAGATTTATTTTCATTTAAAAGATATGAAAATGTCTCTGGTAATTTGTATAGTGTAGCATTCGAATGTACAATGTACGAGGTGTGAAATGAGAGCATGAAAAAGGAGTATGCTTAACCCAGCTGATTGCTTGTTGGCTATTGGTTTGGGCTTGTTGCATTGATAGTGGAGTCCGTTCTCTTTCTGTGTTCACAGGTTGTTTTCACAACCTGATGACCGGATGGACAGCCAGCTGAGCTCTCGGACAGCCTCTATGGTTAGTGTGTCTGAAGTCTCTCTGCTTTCTGTCCAGCTTCTCCTATAGCCTATATAAGGGAAAGGCACAGATGTTGTAGACATCTGTGGCAAATGAGAATTGTATTGATAATGGCCAGAACTCTGGTATATTTGTGTTTATTTTAAAATTTGTTTTGTGTAAAGTGTAATGTGTGTGTGAGACTTGATGAAAATTGGTGTATAGTTAGTGATATGTTTTCTAATAACTGTATATATTAGGCTTTAATTTATTTCTAAGTATATGTAAATTGTGTTTTTCTGCTACATAGTGATTGACTGTTTCTTTACAGCTTATCAACTTTTTGCAGGTTATTTAAAGATGAAACATTTCTGGATTGTAAGAATAATTCATTTTTTGTGTGTGAATATTGTATTAATAATTTTTATTTTTAGACTAACAATGATTTTTTTTTTTTTTTTTTTTTTTACAAGGGGATGGGTTTATACCTTTCCCAAGGGTATTTGCACATAAGTTAAGAAAAAGCAGAATAATTTCTAAAGTAAACAGCAATGACTTTTTATTATTCTTATGGAATGCTGTCATCCTAAATCACATATCACTGAATTTGGTACAAGATGATTTTTTTATTTCTGTATTCATTATTATAAACATATCACACTGCAAGACTTTGGAAATCAGATGAAAAACAACATATTTTTATATAAATCAATTTTTCTAAATACATAATGCTGGCTTACATATCCCAATATTAAATCTAACTACTTTTTACTTGGAGATTAAGTTAACTGATGGACGATATTTTTTTGTTAGTAAAAAAAAAAACTTGCTTAAATGCCACCTTTGTCAAGCTCATTGTCAAATCAGTTCCTATTTATAGAATTCATATTATAATTATTTGCAAATCCTAATTATCAATTCAATGCCTTGAAAACAAAACTAGTAATATTCGATCATCACCAAGCAGATCCTGAATTTTTTGTCTATCTCTATGAACACATCTGTTCAGAGGGATGTCCCATGCCTTGAGCATCTTTTGTAGCTTAAGCTCAACTCAGATCTCAAGTATAACTCCTACATACAACCCATCAATAAAGATGCTAGAAAAATGGTTAGCTCCATGTACTACTCCAGTAAGTAAGTGATTCCACCTGCTATCCTCTACCTTTACAAAAGCCAGATCAGGTGTAAAATGGAGTATTGCTGCCATATATGGGTAGGAGCTGCCCAGTCTTCACTTTCCAGTCTTGATGGAGTTTACGGATATCTTTATGGTCTTGTGCTGCCTCTTTTCTCATAGCCGTTCCCTTGCTGCTTTATCACTATTTCCATAGAGGGTGTTCAAACAAGCTGCATTCCACCAGTTCTAACTTTCATGGCTAAGACCCACCATAGCACACACATTGTAGTGAACCACCCTCATTACCTCCATGTTTCATTGGTGAGATGTAAGTTCCACTCAAGCGTCTTCTTCCTACACGCCACTGCTTCATGGAGTCAACTCCTGGAGGTTGGGGAGGGGGGGCTTCCTCAATCACTGTAATCCTGTTCAGGTATGGGGTTGATCATTGTCTCCCATATATGTCCTCATGGACTGTTTAACTTACCTTGAGAGGCTCTTGTACAGGGTGAACATTATTGTAAAAAAATTTTTTTAAATTACTCTATGCTACATTATACTGTTTTGGCTATGTCATGATAAAAAACAGAAAATAGATCATTGCCTAATCATATAGAATATATATGTATATCACAAGAATGAATTATTACAAATCAGTCAATAAAGTGAAAACTGAAAAAAAAAAAAAATTATTATAAATAACCTAAGTGATAAGACAATATAATAACATTCTATGTTGTAATGTGTAGCTTCTTGCTTTGTTCAAATAATGTGGCAATGACAAATACTGAATTCTTTTTTTACTACTACTTTTTAAGTAACAGTAGGTGAAATTATCATTCTCTCTTGACACTTCACTCAGTAATGGCCTGAATTAAAGTCAAGTGGCTCCTCTCCTTTTTCTGCTTTGTTTGACCTTTTAGAGCAGGCAGAGATTCATGAAATACCATTTTTGAAGTCAACAATCTGGACTTTGAACCCCCGGCCCACTAATATTGATGTGAGTCTGCTCAACTTCATATATTGTTTGCCATCCCATGAATATTTCTCATAACATACTTTTTGAACTAAGCAGAAAAGTCATATGATTAACTTTTGAATATTATATAAAATCCCAACTGAAATACTTTTTTTTTTTAATTTTATATCATCGTCATTATCACATGAGAAAAGTTTTTTTTTTTTACAACTGTTAGGGGAGGATCCCAAACTGCCGTTGTTATTTTGAGATTATTTTACTTTCAACAATACTGACATATCATAATTGAATCCAGTAGTAAATATTCAGGCAAAAACTTCGACCAACTTTATCAATTTTAATTGCAAATTAATTTTCATTCATAATAGTTTTTTTTTGTTTTGTTTTTTTTTAACTTACACTTCGATTTATTTGTTCATCGTTTGCGGGCTGCATAGGACACAAGCATTTTTAAAATTTGTATCAATAATGAAGACAATATTGGTATATTATAGTTTGTCAGTAAATAAATTAAATAGGAGATTTTACAAAGAACCTTTAACGTGAAATTAGATGGCATTTTTAAATTCTTGCTAACTAGGGACGATAAAAAGAGCTGGGTATTAGACACCAATGCAAGTCAAAAAGTCGCTTTTCGGAGATATTTTTTAATTACTAAATTAATGTTAAATTTGGAATTTATTTAAAAAAAAAAAAAAATAAATAAATAAATGAATGAATCGCTGTAGTTTTTTTTAACAAACACAATATCCTGAAAGTGAAAGATAAAAAGAAAATTAAGTAAAACAAAAAAAAACCAAAAAAAAAAAAAAAAATCAATAATGATATTTAAAATAAATAAAAAAATATTTTTTAAAAAATCCTGGCAGGGAAAAAAAAAATAACCGTCTTGACTATTTTTTTTTTTCTTCTTTTCTGCCCGGTACGACTGCAAATATTTATTACTTTTCACTTCAGTTTTTTTTACTTTTTTGCGGTTTTGTTTCTGTCATGAAGGATCGAGAGAAGTTTTTTTTCTCTTTTTTAACTTATTCAAAGTATAAAACAAAGTTTTAAAAAACAGTAAATGAAAAGTAGGAATTAAAAAAGTTGATGTTAAAAGTTTATTTCAATGATATAGAACACGGCTGCTAACAAAATTACTGAGTAAAACAAATTATTTCCTGGAAGAGGAGAAAATTAAAAAAACAAAAAAATAGCGTCTGCTAGTAGAAAAAAAAGTTTAAAAGTTTATATACTAAAAATCCCCAAAAGTTATACATGTGAAAGAGAAAGAATCTAGAAAGTAAGATTAAATTAAATAATTAACCTTTACAATATCGTCATTTTCTGGTGCAGGCCCATAAGTCAGTGAATGAAATATTCCCTCAACTGAATTTGCATGTACTGCATCTCCGCATGGAACAGCCTCCGCCGCCATCTTAAAAATGAACGGAAAAAGAAAAAAATGATACGCATGCGTAAATAAGGTTCACTAGAGAACTTGAAAAGTTTGAAGTTCAAACCTAAGTGCTGGAAAGACGAGGATTGTTACTACAAATTCTCTCTGAAGAAAAAGATATAATGAATATGACAAAATACAAGAAATCCCATACCAAAGAAGTTAGTCTTGCAATTTGCTTTAGTAACATTGTATCAATTTAAAACTTAACTTTATTAATGGCAGAAACCAAATTTTCATTTTTACAAAATAGCTTAAAATTAAAAAGAACTTTTATGACTGCTTTTTATTAAGGAAATTTCCATAAGATTAAAAAGATTGAAATATTTTTAAATTGATCATGACCAGAAGTATAAAAATATATATGAATATTCACAAATAATAGAATATATTGATATAATTTTGGTAAGTGTAAAAATCTTTGTTCTTAAAAATTCTACATTTTTCATTATGGTTGCATAAAGAATGTTATTATCAACCAATAGTAAATAAATTTTATGCTTTTACTGAAAAGGTTATCTGAAATTTTTTTAGATCACAGTTGTTGAGCAATTTTATTAGATATAAATGTGGTATACCAGATGAAAGCAAATTAGAAAAGATTAAGCAGATAAAATAGAGAATTGAATGAAAACACAAATTGGTTCATATTTGTTAACTTTATATTACAGTGGAAAAAAATGCCATTTTTAGCATATCAGAAAATGTAGTATTTGTTATTTTTAGATGAACAGAGTTATAGTTAATTCAACCTCCTAAAATTGTTGTCTTATGATAAATGTCTTCATGAAGACTAGCAGTCAAATGACTAAGGTTTTTTGTTTTTTGGGGTTTTTTTAACAGAAAGATCCAAATGGTGAATTTTAGTTAGTAATAAAAGTAACATTATAAATATTTTCAGGAGCACTGTAGTAAAGTTGACGTGAAAGTGAAAGATAAACTATCGATAAAATACAAATAAACAAAGATTAATATTTGCACAACTACCTAGATGAATAGCTGAAAAATAAATTAAGACAGTACTTTAGCCAATGAAAACTTCTGCCTAAAAACAAAAACCTTTTTCTGGAGCCTATGATGGTTTATTAGTAAACAGAAAATCTTTATAGTTGATAAAGTTATAGTTAATTCAACCTCCTAAAATTGTTGTCTTATGATATAATAAATGTCTTCATGAAGACTAGCAGTCAAATGACTAAGGTTTTTTGTTTTTGGGGTTTTTTTTAACAGAAAGATCCAAATGGTGAATTCTAGTTAGTAATAAAAGTAACATTATAAATATTTTCAGGAGCACTGTAGTAATAATGATTATTGACAGTACAGTCACGGGCTATTTTTCTTACTACACCCGTACGTTTGAACTCCAAATGAACTGGTCACTGGGTGCTATCCCATGTAAACTCAAAAGCTTTGATTTGGAGCCAATCATGTGATCAGGATAACTATATATACACTGGTTTTGGAGGCAATAAAACTCACACAACAAAGACCCAGTCAGCAGCTGGACATGGATCATCTGTCGATAACAGGTGGTTGAATCTGTAAACAGCTGACCAGAATTCTCTTATTAACATGACAACACCTCAGTCAGCAACAACTACACACCATTCAAAAAACATTCATAAAACTCAAAGAAATATTCATAGCCATGGAAAAAAGTAAGTTTGATCATCTATCTGTATGTCCATTTCTTTTTGGAACCACCATAATCAGATTTCATGTATTAGCACTTACACCACAACATTTCTACTAATTTGCTTCACCCACACACACACATTCAGTCAGCTGTCACACATACACTCCATTAAAATATGCTTCAGACACTCACACATATATATATATATATATACACACTTTATATTGAACAAGGCATATGACTTTATGAACTACTTTTTAACAAATGGAAAATTTTTTTCAAACATTTGAACATTGTTTTTTTACAACTAGAACAAACACAATGTTTACCATATAAAAACTAATGTTAATGTGTACATAAGTATATGATTATTTCAATCTGTTTTTCCTTTTTGCCTATGTAAAAAAATCATTTCTTCGCATTGTGTTGTATTTGTGAGCATGACACACGGATTTTAATTTTTCACTTGTAATCCAGGTAGACTGACCCTGCACATTCAATACTGCCAAAACAAAACTAATAATGTTCTACCATCACCAAGTGGATCCTGAACTTTCACCAATCATGAAGAATAGTAGTTCTCTCAAGAAGGCTCCTTGTTTTGAATGCCTTTTGGGATTCAAGCTCATCCCAAACCTCAAGTGAAATTCACATATATGATCCACTGTTAAAGATGCTAGAAAAATAGTTGGTTCCTTGTACTGCTCCAGTACCAGACTCCTCCTGCTGTGTTCTATCTCATCAAGAGCCAGATCAGATCAAAAAAGAGGAGTATTGCTGCCATATCTGATCTGGAGCTGCCCAGTCCTCACTTGCCAGTTTTGATAGCATTCAAAAGCATCTAGACAGCCTTGTGGGTGATGAATATTATTTTCCACCCTACAATCCCTTTCCCACAGATGAAGTGTCACAAACCACTCACTCTATCGCTATTTCCATGGCAAATGTTCTGACCAGCTACATTCCTTAGTTCCACCAGTTTAAATCTTTTCAGCTAAGATCTGCCATGCCATGTCCACTCAGACAAATAATTCTTATTCCCTTCATATTCCATTAGTAAGAAGGAAGTTCCACACAGACAGCTTCTTCCCAAGAATTGCAACTTTGTGGAACAGACTCCTGAAAAGATGTTTTCCTCACCACTAAAATCTTAACCCATTTAAGTCTAGGGTTAACTGTTATTTCTTCTACATAACCACATAAACTGCACCTCTTGCCTCCTTCTCTTATGCTCATACAAAAACATCATTTCATAACTCTGCCTTGAGCGGCTCTTGGGCCTTGTATTGGGTGAACATTAGTAAAAAGAAATTAACATTTATCATCACTTTTAAGTGAACACTTTTGCAAAAATGTTTTATCATTTGAACTTTTAAAAGTTTCACAAATATTTTGTTATTAATCTAAAATTGTTATAAGTATTTTATGCAAAATGTTTTCTAAACAAGAATAAATCTTGTTTTGTTTCAAAATTATCCTTGTAGCTATATTAAAATGTGCTTTACTTTATTACTGTTTTCAGTAGTAACCCAACAGATGTTTTTCCTTCCTTATAGCTGTCTATTAAGAACAATCCTTCTGATGCTATGTTTAACCTTTCACCCTGAACAGACCAAAACTGATTGAAACCAACTATAGCACCTCTTAGAAGCATATCCAGAATTCTATTTTGATTTTATCGGGGATTCTTTTAACCCTTAAAAATACAGCAAGATTCTACTTGTTTCACTCATAGTAACAATTTATTCACACTCCCATGACTCATCAACAAGTCACAAATAGTAATATTCACTAATTTATGCAGGAAAGATTTTCAATACACTCAATATGAACATGATTGAAAGTCAACTTATTATTACAGACTTCTTCACCATCATACTCTTCTCTATTCCAATACATTTGTACAGTAAAGACTAATAAATATTTTATTTGTTATTACTACTTTGTTCTTCTCATTTATTTCTTCACAAATAAAGTGTCATTAAGCATATTCAACTTCCTTAATCCTTATCTAGTAATCAATTCCTCTATTTAGTCTTATACTATATCTGAAGGAGTTTTCTCAGTTTAGCACTAAGCAGCCAGTTACACTCATATCATAGATTAACTTTCATCTGGTGATCTGACCTGAGCCTAAGACAAGTTCATTTCAACTCAGTCTAGCTCAAACCTATAGAAATCCGTTTTGTTATAAATACAAAATACTAATTCTGACACCCAAACAAAATTTAAATAACACTTTAAAACAAAGAAATTCACATCTTTCTAACAAAATGTTTCAGTCTATATATAAAATAATATAAAATAAAAATTACTCTCTAATTTCAGAAAAGTAAATATAAAAATAAACAGAAAATAAACTTTTTATTCTAGATTAATTGAATTTTTCAGATTTTCTCAATGCTTTCTGCTTTGCATTTTTCACATTAATAAAAGAGTAATTTTGCAAGACATATCAGTTTAATCAATCAGAAAATTCAGTGGATATTGTAGGCATATCACTCAAAACAGTATTTAAATTTAGCACCCGATTCAATTTTAATCAGTTACTGCTAATAATTTTAGACTGTAGAAAACAGATTACATGACATATCATTTAATTTATTGACCAATGAAAATACTCTGCACCCCATAATGACTGGGGCCTCTTCCATATCTCTCCAAACTATAAATAGTCAGAGATCGGACAAAAAATCCTTTTTTTCTCTCAATAGCAGTTATAACCCATCTAAAGTGACCCAAGTCTATAATCATTATTTCATTGTTTCTATGTATGTAGTACTTTTCTTGTTTCAGAAACATAGACACTCAGAATCTGCTGTTAACAAAAGATGTACCTTTTCAACAGTCAAACATTTATTATTTTATTCCTATTTTATGTAATAGATATTTAATAAAATTTCAACTTGTTTTGTATTTTGATTTTGTTTTGTATCATCTTGTTGAAAACATGTTGTCTAGTACAGATAACTCCTTGGTATATATGCATGCCACTTCAAATGTAATCATAGAATAAATAAAATATTACTTTTCAGTTCCTTATTTTATAATAGGATGTTCAGTTAGTGTGACAGATATTGGTGTGAAAAGTTTAATCAATGGGCCATGTTCAAATTTGCAGGTTATTCTGTTGTATTTGTTTTCACACAACCCCCCCAGGGAAAGGCCTAAATCTGTCTCTTATTCCTCCTAGCTATGGGGCAAATAGCATGGTAAATTGGGCTCTTTAGCTTTGGGCATCAACTAGCCTAAGAGAAAGAAAATTCTGAATTATAAATTGTGGAGAAGGCAAAGGGAAACCACTTCATTGTATTTCTGAAGAAGTCATAGCAATTCACAATCA